TAATAAGGCTGAGTGATTTGAGGAGAATATCTAATTGTGAATTTTGTGACAAACATTGCAATTATGATTAGATTAAATGATTTTTGGATAAATTATGTGTGGATTTTGCATGTTGAGCCCAAATATTTGACTTTGGGAGATGTTGCACCACTAAAATTAATACAATTTTGTGCTGTTGGCCACAAATGCTGCCAAAATGTGCATATTTTTCCTTTTTTTTTTTTTTTCATATATATTTTATTTAATTTTTTGCCACAAAATATACAAGTGTACAAATACCACATTTAAACCCCCTCCTCCCCATTCCCAAACCCCAATTCAACCTCCCCACCCCACCCCCACCCTTAACAGACGCTGAAAAGAAAAAGGAGAAAAAAAAAAAATAATAATAATAATAATTATAATAATGATAATAATATTGACCAGAAAATAATAATAAAAATAAAAATAACATAATTACATTAATATATACAAATGACATACATTTACATACATACACATAAACGCACACACTCAAACACTCACCCATAACAAATACATTCAAAAATATATAAATAAATTAAGAAAAAAAAAAAATATATATATATATATATATATATATATATTTTTTTTATGATTCTATTAATACTTTTTTGAACATTGTGTATTGTTGTGTTCAGTGTGGAAAAAGGAGTGGGGTGTGGGAGGGTTTTGTTTTTTGTCTATTTTTGTTTTATATATATTCTCAAAATCCTTAAAAAAAAATATATATATATATAATATATATATATATATATATATATATATATATATATATATATATATATATATAATATATAATATAATAAAAAGATTTGCAATTTCTGTTTACATAATAGGATTCTGAAAAAGACAAAAAAAAAAACTAAAAAAACCGACAAACTAAAACTAGAATCAAATTGTTATGACCCAGCTCGCTAGGGTCAAGGAAGTAACAAAAAAAAAAAAAAAAAAAAAAAAACCAAGGTGAAGAATGGAATAGATTAAGTAATGTTTAACAGAAATGTAAAAGGTAAATGAACAAAACAGGCTAAAAGAAAGAAACAAAATAACAGGATTAACAAAGAATGAGTTTTGTGCCAAAAAACAGGTCACACGGGACTATACAAACACGAGTCAAACACAACCAAACTAAATCACAAGTGCCCTAAAGTAAAGCCACATAAACCCACAAACACAATCGAGTGGCCAAATTAGTGATGTGACTTTCCATATCGAGGTTTTGAAGCATGTGCCGAGTGGAGAGGAGGGGTGTTTTTGCAATGCAAATATCGAGGCTTGCTTCACGTAGGGAGGAGCTGAAAATGATGACGTCCAAAGCCTCGCTGCCCGACTGTACCGCGTGACTGATTCAGGAAGTGGATCAGATTTTGCTGCGATTTCCATTTTCATCATTTCCAAATAATCATTTTCCATACTGCCATCACTACAATATGTGTTTTGCATACTTCTTTATTTTACTGACAGTTTTATTCAGACTTCCTGCAAAATGCCACCCCCTGTGTGCCAAATTCATGCCAACTGATATTTTTGCATCCAGTACATGTCCTACTAGAGCAAATGAAGCTTCAAGAACCTATAGAGGCTTTGCACCGTCACATGTCCCCCATAGCAACAGTACCTACGCCGCCATGACACCGGGCACAGTGTCATTGACTTCAGCAGCATCGGAGAAACATGGGCAGGTTTTGTTGTGTATTTGGTTGTTCTAGACGCTCTGAAAGGGACAAAATGATTTGTTTCTTCACTGTTCCTCTGGAAATGACTCATCAGGATCAAACAAGGGAATTATCAAAAAAAAGACAGGAATTATGGCTAGAGAACATAAAGAGATTTCCTATGTTACCATCAAGACACACTCACGTCACTTTTATCAAGGTATTTGCTATTTAAATTGTTTTATAGTTTATTTAATGAGCGAAGCACATTTACTGAACTAAAATGTAAAAAGTAAACATTTGCAGTGTGAGTGGCAGTAGAAACTGTGTCTTCCAGCGCACATATAAACATGTCACTCGTCGTAGGACCCATGTTTTCTTTATTGTTTTGTTTATCTACAACTATGTCTTCTAGAATTTATCACTTTTTGTGAGTGGATCTTTCTAACGTTCGTGAGGATCTTTTCATGGTCGATTCTTTGGAGGTTCGGCTCACAGACTCTTCGACTCATGCGTCATGTTGATCATAGGAGCTCAGTGTGGGTTCATTGAATCGTAAACTAGTGCAGGTTTTCCTGGATAAATTAATGAAATTTTAGTTCAGTAAATGTGCTTCTTTCATTAAATAAACTATGAAACAATTGAAATAGCAAACACCTTGATGAAACTTCAGGTGTCTTGATGGTACCATTGGAAATCTCTTTGCGGTTTATGTTCTCTAGCCATAATCCGTGTGGTTTTTTTTTGATAATTCCCTTGTTTGATCCTGATGAGTCATTTCCAGAGGAACAGTGAAGAAACAAATCATTTTGTCCCTTTCAGAGCGTCTAGAACAACCAAATACACAACAAAACCTGCCCATGTTTCTCCGATGCTGCTGAAGTCAATGACATAGTGTGCCCAGTGTCATGGCAGCGTAGGTACCGTTGCCATGGGGACACGTGACGGTGCAAAGCCTCTGTTGGATGAAAGGCTTCAATGCTTCATGAAGCTTCATCTGCCCATCACTAAACAAAATAAAAAGACACAAAACAGAACTAAACTAAACTACCCGAGTGTCTCAACACAAGCAAAGTCAGACACATACTGGTGTAAAAACGAGTGACTGACACTGAAGAGACACACTGAAACACACAAAACTGGCAGACGGGGCACAAAGGCCAGTAGCCCTGAACAGTTGTAGAGACTCTTAAATATGGGGAGGAGGCTGGAGGTGAGGCAGGATTGGCCCAGTGTAGAAGTGTCCCACCAATCAGGGACCAGGACTCCCACAACAGGAATCCACCGAGACTAGAAAGAAATTAAAACACACACAAAAGAAATCAATAAACTGGAGGCCTGGGGCAGTATCACACACTTCAGAACATGTTTGTACAGATCTGAACTGCACGCTTAACACCTTTTATGCAGATAAGATATAGATGCAGATATAAGACTAGAAAAGCACTCAGAGGGCAGACCTCCGCCAAGGACTACAGCCCCCCTCATATTAATTGTGTTTTCCATAAATATTTATCTCGTATCTTTCAATTTGGAATATGAAAGAGGATCCCATTGTCCATCCCTGAGTCAAATTTCATGGGGTTTGGTCAATAATTAACCGAGATATTGAGAAACAAAATTTTTGGCCCCATTTACCACAATGTTAACTAAAATTTCAAAGTGATCCAGAATCCAGGATTTCTTCCGGATCACCCCCAAAATGAAATCAGTTCTTCCTTTTCACATTTCCAACAAATCCTGAAAATTTCATCAAAATCGGTCAATAACTTTTTGAGTTATGTTGCTAACAGACAAACAAACAAACAAACAAACAAACAAACAAACAAACAAACAGACAAACAGACAAACGCCGACAAAAACATAACCTCCTTGGCGGAGGTAATAAAAGGTTTTGTTGTTTGAGGTAGAAATTATGGGACTTCAACAAGTTTTCTGATTGCATCCATTAAAATTGATATTTCAGTACAATTGAGACTAATCTTGCAGCTCTGTGTAGTAAAATGTAAATTAAAACAATAAATAAAATGATAATTACACCTTAAACAAATCACTTTCACAATTTCAAAGAGCAGTTTAAAAGGTTTTGCTCTTTTACTATTAATTGAATCTACAAACTAATCACAGACAGAAACAACCAAGGCTCAGACCTTTTTAAATGGTTCAAAGTTAGTTAGTTAGTTTTTGAAATGAAGTGTAATCTCTCATTTATTTATTTTTTTGACCAAATATGTTTTCTTGTGCACAGAGCTGTCACTCGTGTTGCCTACTCTGCTCCTGTGCTGACTCTTGTGATGGTTCACTGTTAAGCAGTATAAAAATGCTTAACCTTTACAAACTGTTCATTTCTTAATCCTTCGCAGTACGGTTTGGGTTTAATTTGACCCGGACCAAGAATTTCCTCGTAGTAAGTGTCTATACCAAATGTTTCAAGGAGCAGGAAGAACATATTTTTCATATTTTCTTCTTCTTCTTTTGCATGTATGAGACAACTGTGGTGTCCTGAGTGAAAGCAAACTTAGAAGAAAAGACCTCTCCGCCCTTTGACTGACTTCTCTTCCTTATGTGCACCGTATACAGGATGATCACTCCTTTCACTGTTTTGAGATTCCCCCAAAAACCAACAGGTGTCTAATTCTGGGATCCTGGGGCATGGGGGAATCTCAAAACATTGAACTCTTGAACTCTGTTGCCACTGTCCCATAAAAAAATACACACAAACATGCGTACAGTTTCACAGTTTCAAGATTCCCTAAAACAATTCCCTGTTAGCGGCACATTACATATGCCACAACCAAATAGCAGCGTTTGGTTAAAGTAAAAAACCAATAGAAAAAGATTTGGAGTTATAACCGTTCACGTTAAGGAACCGTTCAAAAGAGCCGACTCAGTCACAAACGTCACATCATTAAAATCTCCATTTTACAAAATAAAAACATTGATAAAGAAAAAGTACAGTATGTGTCCTTAAGTCGATTAATTGGTCAATAGGGTCTTGCTCGACCAAAATTTGTCTACTATTTAAGGTTTTATATGGGACAGTAGAGAAGAAAGAGTATGGAGTGAGCTAGCTGGAGATTTGGGACTGAGTCATGAGTTTAATCTATCTTTTATGTAAATATATAATCATATAAATAGTTTTACATTGACCCCTGTGCCGTTGTAGTCTTTTGAGTGCACCTCCTTCTTAGACAACAAATCAATCAATAGGACATGTCTGTAGTCGGCTACAGCCCTAGAAAATGTTGTATGTGTGATGTGTAGAAGTTGTGCACATGTTGCTGTTGTATATATGTTGTTTTTATGTTGTCTTGTTTTCCACAGACAGAGTGCAGAGTCTCCAGTCTCCAGCTGTTTGTCAGTGAAGAGCGACTGGTCCATGGAAAGACCTCCAGAGTTTAGAGCTGAACCTCCTCCAAACACTTTGTAAGTTTGGGACTTTTCTTAGATCTTGTAGCCTGTCTAAGGTTGTTTTCACACGGCCACTAGTTAGGTTCAGGTAAATAAAAGCTTGGACTGGTGTGAACCGAACAGCCCCATTCTGATTCTAACAGTAAAAGTTAAAAGTGCTTGGAATTTACTAAAAAAAAAAAAAAAAAGACATTGAATCACATATGTTTGTATGAATGAGCACTGGGTTTGTCTGCGCAGGTGAGTCTGGGTCTATGTGCCTCTTAGAAAACTTGATGTCCTCTGGAACTTGTCATAGAAATAAGTTGGCCTCACACCTCATGTGACCAACCCAAAGATGTAGTTAACAGACTTAAATCTAGTGTTTGTGTTGTATCTTGGATGTTGGTTATATGTTGTTTTTATGTTGTCTTGTTTTTCACAGACAGAGTGCAGAGCGTCCAGTCTCCAGCTGTTTGTCAGTGAAGAGCGACTGGTCCATGGAAAGACCTCCAGAGTTTAGAGCTGAACCTCCTCCAAACACTTTGTAAGTTTGGGACTTTTTTAGACTTTGTAGCCTGTCTAAGGTTGTTTTCACACTGCCACTAGTTAGTTTGAGGTAAAAAAAAAAAAAAAAGTTTTTGCAATGCTTAGGTTGGTGTGAACCAAACTGCCACATTCTGATTCTAAAAGTTAAAGTGAAAAGTGCTTGAAATTTACTTATAAAAAAGACCTTGAGTCACACTTGTTGAATGAGCACTGGGTTTGTCTGCGCAGGTGAGTCTGGGTCTATGTGCCTCTTAGAAAACTTGATGTCCTCTGGAACTTGTCATAGAAATAAGTTGGCCTCACGCCTCATGTGACTCATGGTGTTTGTGGTGAATGATGATGCAGTGAACAAAACCAACCCAAAGATGTAGTTAACAGACTTAAATCTAATGTTTGTGTTGTATCTTGGATGTTGTGTATATGTTGTTTTTATGTTGTCTTGTTTTCCACAGACAGAGTGCAGAGTCTCCAGTCTCCAGCTGTTTGTCAGTGAAGAGCGACTGGTCCATGGAAAGACCTCCAGAGTTTAGAGCTGAACCTCCTCCAAACACTTTGTATGTTTGGGACTTTTTTTTAGATCTTGTAGCCTGTCTAAGGTTGTTTTCACACGGCCACTAGTTATTTTGAGATAATAATGCATCAGTTTTATATAGTGCTTTTCTGGACACTCAAAAACACTTTACAGAGCATTATTCATTCACTCCACACTAGGTGGTGGTAAGATACTATTGTAGCCACAGCTGCCCTGGGGCAGACTGACAAAGTGAGGCTTCCAATCTGCACCATTGGCCCCTCCCACCACCACCACCATCACTCGCGCACACACCACTTTCATACTAGGCAATGTAGGTAAAGTGTCTTGCCTAAGGACACAACAACAGTTTCTGTGACCTCTCTGTGGCACCTGATTTCCCCAGTGGTCTCCCAACCAAGTACTAACCAGACCCAGCCCTGCTGAGCTTCTGAGGTCGAATGGGATATGTGTTATGTTTGTATGAATGAGCACTGGGTCTGTCTGTGCACATGACTCTGGGTCTATGTGCCGCTTAGAACACTTGATGTCCTCTGGAGCTTGTCATAGAAATAAGTTGGCCTCACGCCTCATGTGACCAACCCAAAGATGTAGTTAACAGACTTAAATCTAGTGTTTGTGTTGTATCTTGGATGTTGTGTATATGTTGTTTTTATGTTGTCTTGTTTTCCACAGACAGAGTGCAGAGCGTCCAGTCTCCAGCTGTTTGTCAGTGAAGAGTGACTGGTCCATGGAAAGACCTCCAGAGTTTAGAGCTGAACCTCCTCTAAACACTTTGTTCGTTTGAGAGTTCTTCAAAGTTGCTTATTTCCCTAGGCTGTTGTTGTTGATTTTTCTCTGTTACTTTATTAGAGCAGTGTCTCCAGCTCACAGAGATTTGTCACTGAAGAGAGATGGATCAAAGATGAACTTAAGTTGTGAATCTGCACCTTCAGAAACTATGTAAGGCTTTTTCAGTGTGTTCAGTTGTTATATTACCTATAATTCAAATCCAATCAGTTCATATCTCTCTCACTCTCTCTCTCTGGCTCTCTTCCATTTACAGAGAGGAGACACGGCAGATTGAAGATTCAGACATGGTCCTTGAATCCTGTCTGTGTAAGTGATGAGTTATTCAGTGACAGTTCAACATGCATGCAGGTGTTCAATGTCTGAGTTTTCTGTCTAGATGAATATAAGCAGATTCTGCAGAAGAGAAGTGAGAGTGTGACTGAGGGAATGGACAGAGCTGCTCCTCAGGCCTCTTTAAACAGCATCTACACAGAGCTGTACATCACAGAGGGCCAGAGGCCTGAGACCAAGGCCCAACACGAGGTCATCTGGCTGGAGACAGTCACAGTGGAGGACGCAGTGCAAGACTCTGTGATCAGGTGCAGTGACATTTTTAAGGCCTTCACTGAAGAGCAGCGGACCCTCAGGCTGGTGCTGACCAGTGGAGTGGCTGGAGTGGGGAAGACCTTCTCAGTCCTGAAGTTCTGTCTGGACTGGGCCCAGGGCTCAGAGAACCAGGATCTGGACCTGGTGCTGCCGCTGTCCTTCAGAGAGCTAAACTTGACCAGAGAGGGGCGCTACAGTCTGCTGGAGCTCATACAGGTGTTCCACCCCTCCCTGAGCACTCTCTCGGCTCAGACTCTGCTCCATCGTAAAGTCCTGTTGATCTTTGACGGCCTGGATGAGAGTCGGCTGCCTCTGGACTTCTACTGTGAGGTCATCTCTGATGTCACACAGAAGTCAGAGGTCAACATACTGCTAGTGAACCTCATCAATGGGAAGTTGCTTCCTGCTGCCCTTTTATGGATCACCTCCAGACCGGCAGCAGCCAATCAGATCCCTGCTCATCATGTGCACAGGGTCACAGAGGTGCGGGGCTTTGTCACTGATGCTCAAAAAAAACAGTATTTCACTAAGAGGTTCTCTGACCAGCAGCAGTGTGACACTGTCCTGTCCCACATCAGAGGCTCCCACAGCCTCCACACCATGTGCCAGATCCCAGTCTTCTGCTGGATCACAGCCACCGTCCTGGACCACATGATGAACACCGAGCAGAAGGACACACTCCCCCAGACCCTCACTGACCTGTACGCACACTTCCTGATGGGTCAGAGCTGGAGAAAGAGACTCAAGTATCCACAAGACTCAGAGAAGCAGGGACAGCCTGGCACTGAGCTGTCAGTGGATGACAGAACACTGCTGCTGAGGCTGGGCAGGCTGGCCTTCGAGCAGCTGGAGGCAGGAAACCTCCTGTTTTATGAAGAAGATCTGAAGCATGTGGGTTTGAACGTCACGGACGCTGTAGTTCAGGTCGGAGTTTGCTCAGAGATATTCATAAGAGATTGTGTCTTACTTGACAAACCAATCTACTGCTTCATTCACCTGAGTGTCCAGGAGTTTCTGGCTGCAGTTTATCTGATTCACACCTACATAGAGTCAAATGTCTTGAAATGGATTCTGCGAAATGACCGTCAGCATCCAACTATCACCATTTTTCTCAGAAAAGTCATGAAAAAATCTCTTAAAAGTAAAACTGGCCACCTGGACCTGGTTGCACGGTTCCTTCATGGTCTCTGCCTTGAGTCCAACCTGAAAGTCCTGCAGGGACTTCTGGGTCAGTTGGAAATGGATGTAGAAACAACAGAGAAAGTCGTAAATAATCTGAAGGAAATGAACGTGGCCCAGGTCTCTGCTGACAGAAGCATCAACCTCATCCATTGTTTGATGGAGATGAGATACAACGTCCAAGAGGAGATCCAAGTTCTCCTGAAGGCACAGAGAAAGTCCACCAGACTGTCAGATATCCAGTGCTCAGCCTTGTCCTACATGCTGCAGTTCTCAGAGGAGGTTATTGAGGAGTTCGACATGAGGAGCTACAGCGTGTCACAACAAGGCAAAGAGAGACTGGTGCCTTGTGTAAGAAACTGCAGAAAGGCTGTGTAAGTGTTTTCTTTAGTTTTAAACACTCTAAGCATCTAAGCAAAATACATTATACTTGTATCTGTATATTAATGATGAGGGGAAATCATGAGAGTTAAAAGTTCATATAAGCTTCATATGGTTTTGGAGATTATGTCTCCTAAGCATTGTACCTGTTTTCACAGACCAAACCAGTAGCCTGTGAGTGATTTCTTTCCTAAAAATTATTCTAATGTGGTGTTTTATCTCTTGAGTTTGATTGGATGGTGTTGATTGATAATTACATGGAGATTATAGTTGCTTTACAATCCCAGCCCTGCCTTTGGATTTGGAAAGGTTTTTGTGGGAGTGCTAATAGTTCTGTTCTTCTTTTCAGATTGGACTGTCAGCCATCAGATGTTAACGCTGAGATTGTGGCATCTGCTCTGAGTTCTGACCCCTCCCACCTGCAGGAGCTGGAGCTGATGTCCATCCAGGACTCAGGGCTGAAGATCCTGTGCTCTGGACTGCAGAATCCCAACTGTCGACTGCAGACTCTGAGGTCAGCTCTCTCCACTTTCATTATTACAGGCTGAGATAGATGAGGTTTAACCCAGATCTTCTAATGTTTCTTCATCGCCAAAACAAATGTCAACAATGATCAGTGTTCTTTAAAATATGGATATATTATATGGACAAATATTCATTCATAAAGACATTATAAAGGTATTTCTAATATTTACAGATGTAGACAAGTCAGTCTAACTTATGTAGAACTGTCGTTTATGTTTGTCAAATACAGCATACGTTAGCATGTGCTTTTTACTTTGCCATCCATTTAACCGGGCAGATGACAAATCTGTATTCACAGTTAGGCTATTGACCTTTATTTACTTATGAAAATATATATAGCCTTATCTTAGCTATAGCCTTTAAAAATCCTCTTAATCTAGCTCTTCAGTCCGTTCTGTGAGGTCTTAAATTCACTCCCAAGTCCCCTGAATCTTGAATCTTGCTGTACCAATTATAAAGTCTGAACTTTTTTTCATTATAAGAAGTTTTTATGTTTATGTGTATTCACCATTGCTGCTATACTGACAGTGATATAAAAGTATATTGTAATAAAGTTGTAATAAAGTAAATGGCGCTAAATAAGTGCATGGTTTTCATTTGCTGAAAACTGAATCTGAAAAGCGATTCAAGTTTGCTATTGTTGCCACAGTACATGAGGGGACCACAGCGCGGGTGAACATGGTTTGGTTTAAGGCGTGATACTGATTGTAAAGGTCATATTTTTTAGGCTGAGATGGGACCAGGGATCAGCGTGCTGCTTAACACCTCTGGTGTCAGCTTTGAAGTCCAACCCCTCACACCTCAGAGAGCTGAGTCTAATGAACATCCACTCACTGGAGTCATACATGGAGCAGCTGTGTGAGTTCCTGCAGAGTCCAGACTGTTGCCTGGAAACACTCAGGTTAGTTCAGTGTCCCTCTGTGACTCTTTAATGTTTTAGCTAGCTATCATTAATGTCTTCCAGACTTTTTGGACTTTGGAAGAATAAATTTTACTTTTTGCTTTTAATAACAATAAAAAACTGTCAAGAGATTTTTAAAAATGTATTATGATCTGTAATTAATTAATCTAATTAATCTCTTTTTTAATCTCACCTAAAAATTGCTGAGAAAAGCCTGGCCCTATTATTATTATTATTATTTTTTTTTTTTATTGAAAAAATGACAATGACAAAACCGTTTTTGCCATACTGCACAGCTGTGATGTAATACATTGTTTATTTCAGATATATGAACTGCACTTGGACGCAGATGAGCTGTTCTGTTTTGGCCTCAGCTCTGAAAACTAACCCTGCTCACGTGAAAGAACTGGATTTAAGGAATAATGACCTGGACTCAGGAGTGGAGCATCTGTGTGAGTTTCTGAAGAGTCCAGACTGTCATCTGAAGACATTGAGGTCAGTGCTTTAATAATATCATGTCAATGTTGGTGTCATTCCTTTGTCATCCAGGAGTGTTTCATTGTAATAAAAAGTGGACATGGTTTAAACACATTTACCTCTTCAATCTAATCTGCTGTTGGAACACTTCACCCAGGTCCAGATCAAAACAACCTAAAGGTTCTGGCAGAGATCACTGTTCTGTTCTGATGTTTACATGCCTGACAAGTCTAGGGTTTTTGAACAGATTTTTCCTTTTTTTCTTCTTGTAAGCAGCCATATTTAGTTAGATAAACTCTGTAGTGTAAAGTCAATAAAGTGTCCTTGTATCTATCTGTCGATCTATCTGTTTCTTTTGATATGGACAGATCATGCATGTCCCTGATTGGCTAATTTAATTGTCAATCACACCCATTGGAACTCAGGGAGATTCACCAGTGACCAGACTCACATCTTAAAGTATTGAAGAAGTGTGTATGCTGGATCACAGACAAGAAATGATGGGCATTTAACCCTTCTAATGGTAATATACATTTAAATGAATCATGTGACCACGCTAAGTCACTATGAAATACAAGGACTTACATTTTAGCAAGTTGGGCTTTTAAATCATGTATTTAGATTTCAGAAATAATACATTTCTTCAGTGAAAAGATTATTTTTTTTTTTTTTAGTTGACAGAACACTTACATTTGACTTGGACTGTATTTTGATTCTGTCCATTGTCCCTTCATTTGAGGCATGTGAATATTGACACTTAAATTCAATAAAAATGTATTGTCTTTACACCCCTTCAAATATCAGATGCACCATCAATCAGTTTGGACCTGGACCTGATCCTTTTATAAACAGACCTGCATTAAATAATTGGACATTTTTCTGTTTTTGTAGATTGAGAATGTGCAGTTTGTCAGAGTCCAGCTGTTCCTCTCTGGGCTCTGCTCTCACGTCAAACCCCTCACACCTGAAAGAACTGGACCTCAGTGCAAACAGTGATATAAAGGACTCAGGAGTGGAGCATCTGTGTGGATTTCTGCAGAGTCCAGACTGTCGACTGGAGACTCTCAGGTGATTGTGAACATAGCGTCATTTAAACATACATTACATTCCACTTATAAAGCATTGGCATCTCAACTTGGGCATTTTTTGAGTCTCAAGACGATGGCGATTGGCAAAAATGTCACAGACAAGAGTCATTTAGAACATGAACATATTTTATGTTATACAGCCAACGTTGTCTCCACAAATATGGACAAACTATCTAGGTTTATTCATCACATTGACGTTTGATTGTTGTGCTCATACAGCATTAGCATTGTTACCAACTTAAGCAAAAGCAAATGGACACTGTCTGGATCAAAGCAAATGTCTTATTTAAAAACACTTTTTTTGCCACAACTAATACTGAACAAACCTATTTACTAATCGTGCCACCCATGTACATGACAGGTTCTTACACATCTAAGACCCTCACATGAACATGTTATTTTCAGAGTGAAGTCCTGCAGTTTGTCAGAGTCCAGTTGTTCCTCTCTGGCCTCTGCTCTGACGTCAAACCCCTCACACCTGAGAAAACTGGAACTCAGTGAAAACAGTGATATAAAGGACTCAGGAGTGGAGCATCTGTGTGGATTTCTGCAGAGTCCAGACTGTCGACTGGAGACTCTCAGGTCAGTGCCTCAGATGCCTCATCAACTCCAGGAACACACTGAGTTGCCTTGTGAAACCTTGGCTTCTGGGGAATCAGCTTGGAGAGCTGTTCCATAATTGAGATGCCTCACTCATGTTTCAGAGAACCAGGGTTCATTTCTTAATCTAAAGTTATTTTTGACTGATGTTTACTGTAGTCACAGACAAGTGATCTAACACAGGTGTGTCAGTGCATGGGCTGAAACTTCTCAACTGTTTCTGTTCCTAGAGATCAAGCTAAAATAATCTTGAGAGAGAGTTCAGCATCCTAACAGTCTGGTGGATGAAATTGTTAGTGAGTCTGGTGGTGTGGGAACAGAGGCTTGTACAGATTGTGTGACTTGCAACACTCACACTTGTGATGGCTTTGTGGGTGAGGCGGGTGGTGTATATGCAGGGGGAGTGGTACATCAATGATCTTCCTGGCTGTGTTCACTATGTGCTGCAGGGCTCTCCTGTTAGGGGTGATACAGGGACTGGCAGAGGAGTCGGCCTTCTTGGAGTCCCTAAGAGGGATACTGGACATGCACTGGTTCCATATAGATAGATGACATTGTGTGTGTTTTTCAGATTGTCCAGCTGCAGTTTGTCAGAGTCCAGCTGTTCATCTCTTGCCTCTGCTCTAAATTCTAACCCCTCACACCTGAGGGAACTGAACCTCAGTGAAAACAGTGACATAAAGGACTCAGGGGTGGAGCATCTGTGTGGATTTCTGCGGAGTCCAGATTGTCGACTGGAAAATCTGAGGTATGTGTATTATGGATAGACTCTTTGCCAAAATATTAGACTATGCTTCATTTAAAGTTCAAGTCTTCTTTCTCTTGATTAATAAAATAACTCACACATAACACATAACTCATAAAATAACTCCGAGCACTAGTATGGGCTCTCATGGCAAACAGGTCCTACAACACCAGTGTTGTGTTTAATAATTGAGAGAGTTTATTCCAAAAATGTTATCCAACTTTCAAACACAGTGTCTCTGTTTGTACCATCATGAATCTTCTGATGAAATGTACATCTGGTGTTATCAAGATGCATCTTCCTGTAGTTTACATTTCCTACTTAATCCTAATCCTAATTAATCCTAGATTCATACACTACACACTACACTGGTTTATAACTGAATGTCATGAACAGTTCAATACAAAACTATCTGCATCATCAGTATTCAGTATTAGTATTAGTATTATTTCACAGTGCTTCACACTACCCCTGCAATAATACAGTCTTTGGTAATTTACACAAATTATAATATAACACATGAGATGAGATTTAGTAGTAATTTATATATATTGCTGTTGTTAGCGCAGGATATAATTGAAGAAGAGACAACCTGCATGAAGCTCAAGAGCACTGAGCTCCCCCTATTAGACCCCATTGTAGTGTTACTGCATGTTTAACATAAAATCAACTGGTCACGGGCTCAGGTTAAACAGATGATGTGGGCCAAGTATATTATGAATGAAGCAATAATTGGAGGGAGAGTCCTCAAAAACAAACCCACAGACCCAGCGTCTGGCTTTCTCCTGGGGGTGAAGGAGCTCAAGTTCATGCAGGAAGTTGAGAGACACCAGAACTTATTCAGGCTCACCTCCACGCACAACTTGGGCTCTAAAAACCAACTCCCTCCACTTTTCTGGTGTTGCCCAAGGGTAGAGCTAGTGGCTGGCAGAGTACCCCCCTCACAGTAGTGTAGAGAACCCGGTCTTCTTGGAGTCGCTGAGAGGATTCATGGGCAACAACAGTGACACCAGGAGAGGAGAGAGGACGTCTGTGTCACACTTTGTTCATGACAAATGCCATGTTCAGGCATAAGTGCAGCCATTAGCAGGACATGCTATAATTTACTGTTAAAATAAACAAAATAATAAAATAAAATAAAAAAACATAGTCAGGGGCAAATAAGCATAAATAAGAGTTAAATGAAAGCACATTTTCCAACAATATGAATGTATTTTCAGCCTATTAGCCTGCAGCTACCAGAGAATGGTTTAGATAAAATAAGAAATGCTGTATTGTGTGGTTCCATATGAAAGGATAGATGTCATTGTGTGTGTGTATTTTTTTCAGATTGTCCAGCTGCAGTTTGTCAGAGTCCAGCTGCTCCTCTCTGGCCTCTGCTCTGAAGTCTAACCCCTCACACCTGAGAGCACTGGACCTCAGTGAAAACAGTGATATAAAGGACTCAGGGGTGGAGCATCTGTGTGGATTTCTGCAGAGTCCAGACTGTCGACTAGAAAAACTGAGGTATTTATAATGTAATAGTTAGTAGGACAATGTTCCAGATCTTACACCAGGAGCGACAGCGACATGTTACATAGACAGAGCTGTATACTTTTAAAAGCTTCAGTTTACACCAGAGACAGAGCTGCTCCTGTGACCCCAGCCTCTGTGTATTCTCATGTTTAAATACAGTTGATTGGATGAATTATGTTTTATATCACAATACAAAAGTTGACAAGAGAGACGATGCTTTGCAGCGATAACAAGATGTGTCTGCAGTGCTGCATTAATTAAGCTACTCACCATTTCACTTTGACCATCTGGACCATGCACTTTTTCCTTCAGAGGTTGTTTTTGTTGCTGTCTGATACTGTAAAGTGCTTTATATTTATCCTTTATGACTGTAAACTTTCCGTAGTCCATCACAAGTCATTCCCTGAGCTGCTGATGCGATGCACGGTGTTTACACGACTGTAGTGGTTTTAGAGAATGTATTTTGAAATGACATTGGAAGTTTATTTTGACACTGCATGCCCATTTCCTCTCTTTCCCCTGCTAAAAAGCCTGGACATGCTCCGTTGACACTGAAAAATTAGAACTCACACATATGACACTGCTGGGGTAAATTGCTGTTACCTTACCGTGGTGGGAGAGTGTGTATACCTGAATGATCCTAAGAGGGTCATGTATAATCGTCCATAGTAAACATGTCCAAGGTGTCAGGTCAGACTGAGAGCACTGGGCTCTCCACTTCTGTCACTGCCCATGGGGAGAGGCGGCGGGGTGGTATGTGGTTGCTGAAAGAATTTTTAAGTGTTATGTCACTTCCAGGTCCAAGGCACATCAACAATAGACATGTTTTCAATTACAATTTGGTCACACTGTAACAAGGTCCATTCTTTTACCGACCCATTTGTATGAATGAGTGCACCAACCATGTCCTCTCCAGACATTACACAGAGACTTAACTCTATGTGTGCACGAGGTGGGCTAATCAGCTGAACATGCATGTTGACAAAGAAACAAAGACAACCAAGATGACGTCTGACCGAGAAGTGAGATCACAACACTGATTCACATGATTTATTCATATTTATTACTAGACCATATGCATCTGAGTATTTTTTTAATTGAACTTCAATTACTTAGGACTGGAGCCCTTTGGCTTGAGAAGATTTGATGCTTCAAAATACCTTTTTCTTAATAGTTGATAACTATGGTCAGGGGCGGTCCTAGGGGGAGGCCTGACGGGGCAGGCACCCAGGGCGGCATCTTGTGGGGGGCGATATGAACCCGTCCCCCCTTGAGCCTCATTTTGGTCGGGTCCCTATTTGTTATGGGTGTAACAGTAATTAAAGTACTGTGATATGGTATCATCAAATGTACTACAGTATATACTGTACAATACAGTAAAACATAGGGAACTATATAGAACATGATTCTTCCATTTCAGTGCAGACTACATGACAAAATAACTGTTATTAAGCATTTTTAAATCTTAATTATGATGTCTTTGGATCCATCCCATGCAGCTTATTTACCCAGTCGTGTGAATCTGTGTACGATAGGCTGACCAGATTTTCAAAACTCAAAACTGGGACACTATAGTTTAACTGAAAAAGATGAGAGAACTCTGTCCATATTTGTATAGATGTCCAACAGATTTTTTTTTCCACATTGAGATCTGATGTGTTTTCAGAGTGTTCCTTTAATTAGAGCAGTATATATCTTGTTTGAAAATACCCTGGGGCAGTGGTTAGCACACACTTCACAGCAAGAAGTTTAAGAGTTCAATTCCCAAGTCACCCGGCCGCAGTAGTTTGATTGTTCCTCCCTGTGTCTAGGTGGATTTAAAGGTAGAATAGCTAACATAGAAGTCCTAAACAAGTCTAGCAAGAAGATCACGGAGATGAGTCCCATCACTGCTCCTGTGGAGATGTTCTAGCAGCACTGAAGAATGAGTCAAATAAAGAGAACAGATTTTCCAATGGAGACAATATAGTGTACCTTTAAAAAAAAGTATTGCATCTGTCACCCAAATCACTCTGAACTCAAAATTATGAAATTACTTTCAGTTTAGGGCACTTGTAATTGTGTGTAATGATCTTACTGACTCGGGAAACCTGACTCAAACATTTATTGTGTATTTAGTAACAACACATTTGCTGTCCTTGGTGGTGTCAGTTTTAATTGTATCTTTTGCTGAACCTCTTTCTCTCTTAGATTATGTTCCAGTGGAATATCAAGATCCAGTTTCTCTTCCATTAAAACGATTCTGAAGTCTGGGTCATCGTTGCTGAAAGAGCTGAGCTTGACTGTTGATGGAGATCCACTTTCTGACGAGAAGGACCTCGACCGGATTGGAACCTGTCACCTGGACATTACTTTTATATCATTTGCACATGGAGTGATGTATCATAGTGATGATGACTATGATTATAGAAACGATGACTACGACGACAGAGACGATTACGACGACAGAGACGATTACGACGACAGAGACGATTACGACGACAGAGACGACGACTACGACGATAGAAACGATGACTACGATGATAGATACGATGACTACGATGATAGAAACGATGACTACGACAATTATGACGATAGAAACGATGACTACGATGATAGATACGATGACTACAACGATGGACATGATTACTATGATGATTGAAGCGATTAATTCACTATGACAATAGAAACTATGACTACACCACTAAAAACGATGAATGCAATGATGGAAACAATGACCACAACGATGGAAACAATAACTATGATGATAAAAACTATTACTATGACTATATATGAGATTATCTTTTCAAAGTGTTCCTTTCATTTTTGAGCAGTGTATATGGAATTATGGAGCAAGTGAAAAAGTTAAATAACTCTTTTATATTCAAATCCTTGATGTAGCCACCTTTTTCTTCAAAAACATACATAATTCCATATATCATACTTCATATAATTGATGTCTTCTGTATGTATAAAATGTAGAAAGTAGGAAAAAGAAGTAAACAAAACTTTGAATGAAAGGGTGTGTCCAAACTTTTGACTGGTTGTGTATGTGCATTTTGTACAAAACCTCCATTGATCAAAATCAAATCTAACTTTTTTCTAATTCTTAACACAGTGTACTGAGTTAGTGTTGTTTGTTTCTGTTTCCATTTAAACTGATCCAATGAGGTCACTCCCATTTCACTTTATAGAGAGTTGTGCTTGTAACTGAGTAAAAATACACAAGTGCTTTTTGCAGTGATTTTATTCCTATTTTTATTGCATGTTTTATTTGTGTGCTTTTATTTTGAAATTATTTTTTTCTGCGCATGCTTTGTGGTTTCACTTCCTGTTTTTAATGACCTTTTTTCTCTGTAATTCCACTCATGACTGGAAACTAAACCAGGACTAAAACAGGACTAAACCCGGTCTAAACCCCAAACTAAACCAGGTCTAAACCAGGACTAAAACAGGACTAAACCAGGTCTAAACCAGGACTAAAACAGGACTAAACCAGGACTAAACCCAGATCTAAACTAGGTCTAAACCAGGACTAAAACAGTACTAAAACAGGACTAAACCAGGACTAAACCAGGTCTAAACCAGGACTAAACCAGGTCTAAACCAGGACTAAACCAGGTCTAAACCAGGTCTAAACCAGGACTAAACAGGACTAAAACAGATCTATACCAGGACTAAACCAGGACTAAATCATGCTGTGTGGACGTGTCTCCTCGTCTTCTATCAATAATATTTTTAATTTGGTTAAGTAAAGACTCGGCTTTTTTATTTTCTTTTAGCAGACAAAACATCTTATGTTACGATTTCCTCATCTTTGCTTCTCTACAGCAAATCAAGTAATCCAAAGTATTCAGATTACGTTACAAACTACATTTTGGGATCTGTAATCTGTAGTGGAATACATTTTAAAAGTAAACTTCCCAACACTGGTTTTACCTCACTGATTGTTTTTTTTTTATGTAAATAAATGTATTGTATTGTTCCTTGGTTTATTTTTATTGACACTGCTCCCTAGTCTTTAGAACCTTTTTAGCCTTTTAGTGAGTTCTTAGTCTCTTTTTAAATAGTCTGCTTCTTTTTATATTTTACCCCCATTCATTTTTTCTGGGGGTGTGATGCTAACTGAAAGCACTACTCTGTTAGACTTAATCTGAAAATCAAACTCCCAAACATACGGAAGCCGAGAGGGGTCACAACAAACGCAAATGCCGCAACAAATACAAATGCGACAACACAACAAAAAGCCACAACAAACCAAAAAAAAGCCACAACACACCAAAAAAAGCCACAACGGAAATGACCGCGGGACTCTATTTTAATGCAAAAGCCGCAACGCAAACGCCGCAACACATTAAAAAGCCACAACACGTTAAAAAGCCACAACACAAATGCAAATGCCACAACACATTAAAAAGCCACAACACATCAAAGAGCCGCAACATATTAAAAAGCCACAACGGAAATGACCGTGGGACTCTATTTTCCGATGGACCGATCAAGCGGCAAGTGAAGAAGAAGAACTACAACGTGAAAAGTAAAGGAACAGAGAAGTTGGAAACGTAAGTAAAAGTAATTTATTGTTTTATCATTTTTCGTTTCACGTTGTAGTTCTTCTTCTTCACTTGCCACTTGATCGGTCCGTCGGACATTTCCGTTGTGGCTTTTTGATGTGTTGTGGCTTTTTAATGTGTTGTGGCATTTGCGTTTGTGTTCTGGCATTTGTATTTGTTGCAGCGTTTGCATTAAAATAGAGTCCAGTGGTCATTTCCGTTGTGGCTTTTTTTTGTTGTGTTGTGGCTTTTTGTTGTGGTGTCATGTTTGTATTTGTTGCGGCGTTTGCGTTTGTTGTGACCCCTCTCAGCTTCCGTACAAACAGGACCATGAACACTCGTATTGACCGCAGGCTCCTGAAAATGTGCTGTTTAAATCCAGTTTGTAGTTTGTGGTTTTTGTCTGTGTTTTCTAACGTGTACATTCTGCCACCATGGTGTCTGTCAGTGTCGTAGTACTTGAGACCGGTCTTGGCCTTGAGACCACTTTGATATGGTCTTAGTCTCGGTCTTGTCTCAGACTTGAGCGTCTCGATGGTGCTTGGTCTCGGTCTTGTCTCGGACTCGAGGTCTGACACTTCGACACTCGAGTGTGATCAGATTTCATTACGTCCAATGAATGTTCCGAGGCTAAATATCAGTGTAAAACTAGGGGTGTCAAATGATCTCGTTAATTGCGATTAATTAATTAGTCATATTTAGCGCGTTATGTTTTTTAATCGTGTTAATCTTATTTTTAATCTCTAATTTTACTGTTTCTGTGTGAGTTGCCTTATTATAAAATCTGTTTTTATGTGTTGTTAGGACACATAAATGCACTGTGCAGTCCTGCTCCACTCGCTCCCGCAAAGAATTGTAATTTTCATTCCCGTTCTCGCCGCATCTGCAATAAACCTGCACACGTCTGATCTCTGAAAACATCGTGACACAGACACAGAACAGACTCACCTTCACCATCAACATCCCTCTGTCACAGACAGAACATCTATATTCCACTGAGTCATGTCTTTTAGTAGAAGCTGAACCACATCAGTGCACAAGAGCGTTTTTTTTTTTTTTTTTTTTCCTCCACTTAGTTTATGCAAATTAGCCATGTGGTTTTAAGTCTGGTTTCTGTGAGAGTTGCCACGTGCGGCTCTTTCATCCTTCTGTTGTGGCTTCCTGTGACTTTGGAAAATAAATCATGAGTATTTAATTACAATGTATTTTTATTTTAGTTTGTTCGTTTTTAAATGTAATTGTAAATGTGTAGATAATGGTAATCTTGTAACATTCAAATAAAAGGCCTTTAAAAGTCTCGGTCTTGTCTCAGTCTCGATCTTTAAAAGTCTCAGTCTTGTCTCGGTCTCGACTCTCAGAGGTCTTGGTGTTGTCTTGGTCTGGTCTTGGTCTTGTCTCAGTCTCAACTGTCAGAGGTCTTGGTCTTGTCTCGGTCTTGATCTTTAAAAGTCTTGGTCTTGTCTCGGTCTCGACTCTCCTGTCGTCCTGGTTTAGACCTGGTTTAGTCCTGGTTTATACCTGGTTTAGTCCTGGTTTAGTCCTGGATTAGTCCTGGTTTAGTTCTGGTTTAGTCCTGGTTTAGTTCTGGTTTAGTCCTGGGTTAGTCCTGGATTAGTCCTGGTCTTGTCTCGGTCTCGACTTTCAGAGGTCTCGGTTTTGTCTCGGTCTCGATTCTCAGAGGTCTCGGTCTTGTCTCAGTCTGTTCTTGGTCTTGCCTTGGTCTCAACTCTCAGAGGTCTCGGTCTCGACTCTCAGAGGTCTCGGTCTCGACTGTCAGAGGTCTCGGTCTTGTCTCGGTCTCGGGACCCTGTGGTCTCGGTCTTGCCTCGGTCTCGACTCTCAGAGGTCTAGGTCTTGCCTCGGTCTCGACTCTCAGAGGTCTTGGTCTCGACTCTCAGAGGTCTTGGTCTCGACTCTCAGAGGTCTTGGTCTCCTCTCAGAGTCTCGGTCTTGCTCGAGTCTCGACTCTCAGAGGTCTTGGTCTCGACTCTCAGAGGTCTTGGTCTCGACTCTCAGAGGTCTTGGTCTCGACTCTCAGAGGTCTTGGTCTCGACTCTCAGAGGTCTCGGTCTTGCCTCGGTCTCGACTCTCAGAGGTCTTGGTCTCGACTCTCAGAGGTCTTGGTCTCTCGACTCTCAGAGGTCTTGGTCTCGACTCTCAGAGGTCTTGGTCTCGACTCTCAGAGGTCTCGGTCTTGCCTCGGTCTCGACTCTCAGAGTCTTGTCTCGACTCTCAGAGGTCTTGTCTCGACTCTCAGAGTCTTGTCTCGGTCTCGGTCTCGACTCTCAGAGGTCTCGGTCTCGACTCTCAGAGGTCTCGGTCTTGCCTCGGTCTCGACTCTCAGAGGTCTCGGTCTCGGACTCTCAGAGGTCTTGGGTCTCGACTCTCAGAGGTCTCGGTCTTGCCTCGGTCTCGACTCTCAGAGGTCTCGGTCTTGCCTCGTCTCGACTCTCAGAGGTCTTGGTCTCGACTCTCAGAGGTCTCGGTCTCGACTCTCAGAGGTCTCGTCTGACTCTCAGTCTCGACTCTCAGAGGTCTCGGTCTCGACTCTCAGAGGTCTCGGTCTCGACTCTCAGAGGTCTCGGTCTCCTCGAGTCTCGACTCTCAGAGGTCTTGGTCTCGACTCTCAGAGGTCTCGGTCTCGACTCTCAGAGGTCTCGGTCTTGCCTTGGTCTCGACTCTCAGAGGTCTTGGTCTCGACTGTCAGAGGTCTCGGTCTCGACTCTCAGAGGTCTCGGTCTCGACTCTCAGAGGTCTCGGTCTTGCCTCGGTCTCGACTCTCAGAGGTCTTGGTCTCGACTCTCAGAGGTCTTGGTCTCGACTCTCAGAGGTCTTGGTCTCGACTCTCAGAGGTCTTGGTCTCGACTCTCAGAGTCTCGGTCTCTTGGTCTCGACTCTCAGAGGTCTGTCTCGACTCTCAGAGGTCTCGGTCTTGCCTCGGTCTCGACTCTCAGAGGTCTTGGTCTCGACTGTCAGAGGTCTCGGTCTCGACTCTCAGAGGTCTCGGTCTCGACTCTCAGAGGTCTCGGTCTTCTCTCGACTCTCAGAGGTCTCGGTCTCTCAGAGGTCTCGTCTCGACTCTCAGAGGTCTCGGTCTCCTCGGTCTCGACTCTCAGAGGTCTCGGTCTTGCCTCGGTCTCGACTCTCAGAGTCTTGGTCTCTCGACTCTCAGAGGTCTCGGTCTCGACTCTCAGAGGTCTCGGTCTCGACTCTCAGAGGTCTCGGTCTCGACTCTCAGAGGTCTCGGGTCTCGACTCTCAGAGGTCTCGGTCTCGACTCTCAGAGGTCTCGGTCTTGCTCTCGGTCTCGACTCTCAGAGGTCTTGGTCTCGACTCTCAGAGGTCTCGGTCTCGACTCTCAGAGGTCTCGGTCTCTCGACTCTCAGAGGTCTCGGTCTCGACTCTCAGAGGTCTCGGTCTCGACTCTCAGAGGTCTCGGTCTCTCTCAGACTCTCAGAGGTCTCGGTCTCGGTCTCGACTCTCAGAGGTCTCGGTCTCGGTCTTGCCTCGGTCTCTCTCGACTCTCAGAGGTCTCGGTCTCGACTCTCAGAGGTCTCGGTCTCGACTCTCAGAGGTCTCGGTCTCGACTCTCAGAGGTCTCGGTCTTGCCTCGGTCTCGACTCTCAGAGGTCTCGGTCTCGACTCTCAGAGGTCTTGGTCTCGACTGTCAGAGGTCTCGGTCTCGACTCTCAGAGGTCTCGGTCTCGACTCTCAGAGGTCTAGGTCTTGCCTCGGTCTCGACTCTCAGAGGTCTCGGTCTCGACTCTCAGAGGTCTCGGGTCTCGACTCTCAGAGGTCTCGGTCTCGACTCTCAGAGTCTCGTCTCGACTCTCAGAGGTCTCGGTCTCGACTCTCAGAGGTCTCGGTCTCGACTCTCAGAGGTCTCGGTCTTGTCTCGGTCTCGGGACCCTGTGGTCTCGGACTGGTCTTGGTCTCGATTGGTGCGCTCTTGACTCCAACACTAGTAACTGCTGAACATCCCACCGATAGACATACATGTAGAACACCCCCAGCATGGTGTATGAAAAGCGAAACATCTTTTGGAAATGTTTTGGCAGCTGGTTGTGTGTGGACTTTGGAAATAATAGAAAGATTGTCACACGGATAAGGGACACGCACGAGAATGACTGATGCAAATTAGGAAACAGACTCAACAGTGTGCTTTTGTTCTCTTGGGTCTCTGTCGGAATGAGTCACTGAAGCCAAACATGGACTTTATATTTTAAACTCGGGCTAAATGAGGCTTATCTGCTTGTATTGAGTTGGACGCGTCACTGTTCGGGGAAATGAACCACGTCTAACACATCGTACTCCAACCAGACTTTTACCCTGCACACGTGAATATTTGTGTTTTGTGTTGATAAAGTTAAGAGACGTGAATAGTAAGATTATTTACTGGTAGTGTATTTGGGGATAAGAAAACAGACAAACTGGTTTAGACTTCATGTAGGTTTAGACCTGGTTTAGTTTTGATTTAGTCCTGTTTTAGTCCAGGTTTAGTTCTGGTTTAGTCCTGGTTTAGTCCTGGTTTAGACCTGGTTTAGTCCTGCTTTAGACCTGGTTTAGACCTGGTTTAGACCTGGTTTAGTTCTAGTTTAGTACTGGTTTAGACCTGGTTTAGACCTGGTTTAGTTCTAGTTTGGTCCAGGTTTAGTTCTGGTTTAGACCTGGTTTAGTCCTGGTTTAGTCCTGCTTTAGACCTGGTTTAGACCTGGTTTAGTTCTAGTTTAGTCCTGGTTTAGTTCTGGTTTAGTCCTGGTTTAGACCTGGTTTGATCCTGGTTTAGTCCTGGTTTAGTTTTAGTTTAGTCCTGGTTTAGTTCTGGTTTAGTCCTGGTTTAGTTCTGGTTTAGTTCTAGTTTAGTACTGGTTTAGACCTGGTTTGATCCTGGTTTAGACCTGGTTTAGTTCTAGTTTAGTCCAGGTTTAGTTCTGGTTTAGTCCTGGTTTAGTTCTGGTTTAGACCTGGTTTAGTCCTGGTTTAGTCCTGCTTTAGACCTGGTTTAGACCTGGTTTAGACCTGGTTTAGTTCTAGTTTAGTCCTGGTTTAGTTCTGGTTTAGTCCTGGTTTAGACCTGGTTTGATCCTGGTTTAGTCCTGGTTTAGTTTTAGTTTAGTCCTGGTTTAGTTCTGGTTTAGTTCTGGTTTAGTCCTGGTTTAGTTCTGGTTTAGTCCTGGGTTAGTCCTGGTTTAGACCTGGTTTAGTTCTGGGTTAGTCCTGGTTTAGACCTGGTTTAGTTCTGGTTTAGTCCTGGGTTAGTCCTGGTTTAGTCCTAGTTTAGTCCTGGGTTAGTCCTGGTTTAGACCTGGTTTAGACCTGGTTTAGTCCTGGGTTAGTCCTGGTTTAGACCTGGTTTAGTTCTGGGTTAGTCCTGGGTTAGTCCTGGTTTAGACCTGGTTTAGTTCTGGGTTAGTCCTGGTTTAGACCTGGTTTAGTTCTGGGTTAGTCCTGGTTTAGTTCTGGGTTAGTCCTGGGTTAGTCCTGGTTTAGACCTGGTTTAGTTCTGGGTTAGTCCTGGTTTAGACCTGGTTTAGACCTGGGTTAGTCCTGGTTTAGACCTGGTTTAGTTCTGGGTTAGTCCTGGTTTAGTTCTGGGTTAGTCCTGGGTTAGTCCTGGTTTAGACCTGGTTTAGTTCTGGGTTAGTCCTCTCCTCATCAGCACGTGTGTCCTTTTCTTATCTCTTTTGTACACACCTATTTAAAAAAACACATCCACTTATAAATCCTAGTTCCTCTATTTAAAAACAGAACATCACATGTCATTTACACACACGCACACACACACACACACACACACACACACACACACACACACACACATATGCATATACATTTACCCTGCAGGCTCTTGTACGCCTCTGTGTGTGAGCCCAGTTTGCGTAACGTGACATTTGGTGGTTTTTGGTCAAACACAAATGCCTCACAATGTAATCAAACACAGAGAGAGACCGGAACTAAACCAGGAGTAAACCAGGACTAAACCAGGTCACAACAAGGGCTAGACCAGGACTAACTACAGGGCAAAACCTGGGAGAAGGGAAAAAAGACCCTACCAAAGACCAAAGACTAAACCAGGACCAAGCTTGGACTAAAGCAGGTCTTTAACAGGGCTAAGCAAGAGTTAAACCTGGAAGAAAGACAAAGACTAAACCAGGACTAAACTAGAATTAAACCAGGACTAAACCGAGACTGGATTCGGGAGATGGAGGACGATGTGCAGTACATTTCCGTGGTCTTCCAAAACAGACCACCACCGCAAACGGGTAAGGAACATCCTAGAACTGAACCAGGACTGAACCAGGACTGAAACAAGACTAAACCAGGACTGAACCAGGACTGAAACAAGACTAGACCAGGACTGGACCAGGACTGAAATAAGACTAAGACCAGGACTGACCAGACTGAAACTAGACCAGACTGAGGACTGAAACAGGACTAGACCAGGACTGGACCAGGACTGAAACTGAACAGACTAGACCAGGACTGACCAGGACAACCAGACTGAAACAAGACTAGGACTGAACAGGACTGAGACACAGGACTGAAGACTGAAACACTAGACCAGGACTGAAACAGGACTGAACCAGGACTGAAACAAGACTAAACCAGGACTGAACCAGGACTGAAACAAGACTAGACCAGGACTGGACCAGGACTGAAACAAGACTAGACCAGGACTGGACCAGGACTGAACCAGGACTGAAACAAGACTAGACCAGGACTGGACCAGGACTGAAACAAGACTAGACCAGGACTGGACCAGGACTGGACCAGGATTGAACCAGGTCTAAACCAGGACTGAACCAGGACTGAACCAGGACTGAAACTAGACTGAACCAGGACTGAAACTAGACTAGACCAGGACTGGACCGGGACTGAAACAAGACTGAACCAGGACTGAAACTAGACTGAACCAGGACTGAAACTAGACTAGACCAGGACTGAAACAAGACTGAACCAGGACTGAAACAAGACTGAACCAGGACTGAAACTAGACTAAACCAGGACTGGACCAGGACTGAAACAAGACTAGACCAGGAGTGGACTGGGACTGAAACAAGACTGAACCAGGACTGAACTGAAACAAGACTAGACCAGGACTGAAACTAGACTGAACCAGGACTGAAACTAGACTGAACCAGGACTGAAACTAGACTGAACCAGGACTGGACCGGGACTGAAACAAGACTAGACCAGGACTGGACTGGGACTGAAACAAGACTGAACCAGGACTGAAACTAGACTGAACCAGGACTGAAACTAGACTGAACCAGGACTGGACCGGGACTGAACCAGGACTGAACCAGGACTTTAAACCACATTATTGCTGTTTCCTTTCCCTATTTCCTCACCCAGACTTGGAGTGATTGTGTTTGACATGTTTGAATAATCTTTAATCAGAGGTGGATGCAGTACTTTATTTTATTACCTAAAGATACATTGTGTAACTTTTCTCATTGTTAGGACACCACAGTTTGCTATTAAACCTCTTCATCTTGTTTTATTCAATTACAAATGTTGTTGATGTTTATTGCTCCAAAAGTCCTTGAAAGTAGACTAGCCTTTCCACAGATCTTACTCGTACCTTGCCTTGAGATGGTGCAATGCCAAAACTGTGGAACATTCCAGGCAAAGCGGTAACATTACCATGGAGACAAGCAAGTGAAGGAAAAGTTAAAAGTTACTCAAGTAAAAGTATCACATGAAAAAATGTATGTAAATGTATTTAAGTACCTGTTCAAAAATATACTTTAAAAATGAAAAGTAAAAGTATTTCACACAAGTGCTGTTAATTTGTGTAGTGATACCGATTAAAAAATGATACAAATAATCTAATCTTTTTATGAATTTTGCATATTTACTTTTGTTTGCTCAAAGTTGAAGCTTGAATTCCAGAATTTTATCACAAACACGGTCAAAATATTTCATAAATCATTTGAATAAAGGTGACAGAGGAAAACATGGCCGTAAACAGTGTTGGGAAGGTGACTTTTAAAATGTAATCCCCTACAGATTACAGATTACACACACCAAAATGTAGTTCGTAACATAATCCATTAAATTACTTAAAGTGAGTAACGTAATCTGAATACTTTGGATTACTTGATTTGCTGAAGAGAAGCAACGATGAGGAAATCTTAACATAAGAAGTTTTATCTGCTAAAAGAAAATAAAAAGACCAGACTTTTCTGAACCAAATTAAAAATATTATTTGCAGAAGACGAGACATGGTCCACGCAGCAGGATTTAGTCCTGTTAAATCCTGTTTTAATCTTGTTTTAGACCTGGTTTAGACCTGGTTTAGATCTAGTTTAGTCTTGGTTTAGACCTGGTTTTAGACCTGGTTTAGACCTGGTTAGACCTGGTTTAGATCTAGTTTAGTCCTGGTTTAGTCCTGGTTTAGCCTGGTTTAGACCTGGTTTTAGACCTGGTTTAGACCTGGTTTAGATCTAGTTTAGACCTGGTTTAGACCTGGTTTAGACCTGTTTAGACCTGGTTTAGATCTAGTTTAGTCCTGGTTTAGACCTGGTTTAGACCTGGTTTAGACCTGGTTTAGATCTAGTTTAGTCCTGGTTTAGTCCTGGTTTAGACCTGGTTTTAGACCTGTTTAGACCTGGTTTAGATCTAGTTTAGTCCTGGTTTAGTCCTGGTTTAGACCTGGTTTTAGACCTGTTTAGACCTGGTTTAGACCTGGTTTAGATCTAGTTTAGACCTGGTTTAGACCTGGTTTTAGACCTGTTTAGACCTGGTTTAGACCTGGTTTAGACCTGGTTTAGATCTAGTTTAGACCTGGTTTAGACCTGGTTTTAGACCTGGTTTAGACCTGGTTTAGACCTGGTTTAGATCTAGTTTAGTCCTAGTTTAGACCTGGTTTTAGACCTGTTTAGACCTGGTTTAGATCTACTTTAGACTTGTTTTTAGTCCTGGTTTAGATTTGGTTTAGACCTGGTTTAGATCTAGTTTAGTCCTGATTTTAGTCCATGTTTAGTCCTGGTTTAGACCTGGTTTAGTCCTGGTTTTAGTCCTGGTTTAGTCCTGGTTTTAGTCCTGGTTTAGTCCTGGTTTAGCCCAAAATGTTGAAAACAGGAAAATACATCTGTGTAATCCATTTATTTCAACAAAGTAACTGTAATCCAATTACCACTCACTGAAACAGTAACTGTAACTGAATACAGTTACTCATAATTTGTACTCTGATTACATAACTCTGGTACATGTAATCTGTTACTCCCCAACACTGCTAGTAAATCCCCACTTGTTTGTCACCATGGAGATGTAGCTTGGAGAAAAGGTATTCTCATGTGCTTGGACGCGTCACCTTCTCCACAGATCTGACCTTACCACTCGAATGCCTCTGTTTTTGGTTCCTGTTTTTATCAAAGAGGAACAGTGTTTTAGTCCAAACCTTCACACTGATGCAACATGTGCAAACTACTACTTCTGTTTTCAATGGGAAATTTTATTAGAAAGTTTATTCAGAACTCCTAAAGAGACAAAAGGCAGAATAACAGGTGCACCTCACAGCAAGAAGGGACCCGCTTCAGTTCAATGCAAAGCCAAAAATGCGTAATGAAGAAGAAAAAGACATATAAGTCACACTTTTGGGGGGGAATTTAGTATAGTAATAACAACAGAAGAGAGAAGAACAGACTGTTAACGTCACAGATGAACAGTTCTTCAGATAAATATAACATAAACAACAGAACAAGTTTAACAAACTCTCCATCTCACTCCAAATCACTAAATCCATTCAATTCCTCATCCTCTGTGTCACTTCTGAACAACTCCTCGACCTCCAGAGGTAAACAGAGCGCCGCTTCCTCTTCTGTGTCGCTGTCGTCAGACTCAGCATCAGTTCCAGTTAGAAATGATTTGATTGATTTATGTATTTGTTTTGGGCAAGTAACAAATCCACATTCTTACACAATGGAACAACAGCAACATCAGTGAAATCAGAACAGAAATAACCAGATTCAAAAAAACTGTGTTTGATTTTCTTCTGACTCCCATTTGAACCTCGGATTTGACGTCACGTCTGAGCTTTAAGTGTATTTTTATATTTCACATGTCGAACTCAGAGAGTCTCACCACAACACAGACTCAAAAACCCACAGATGTGGTAAAGTACTGCAGTAATACTACCAAACCCACAGGCAGTGATACAGACACAGTAAAGTACTGCAGTAATACTACCAAACCCACAGGCAGTGATACGGACACAGTAAAGTACTGCAGTAATACTACCAAACCCACAGGCAGTGATACAGACACAGTAAAGTACTGCAGTAATACTACCAAACCCACAGGCAGTGATACAGACACAGTAAAGTACTGCAGTAATACTACCAAACCCACAGGCAGTGATACAGACACAGTAAAGTACTGCAGTAATACTACCAAACCCACAGGCAGTGATACAGACACAGTAAAGTACTGCAGTAATACTACCAAACCCACAGGCAGTGATACAGACACAGTAAAGTACTGCAGTATTACTACCAAACCCACAGACAGTGATACAGACACAGTAAAGTACTGCAGTATTACTACCAAACCCACAGACAGTGATGCAGACACAGTAAAGTACTGCAGTATTACTACCAAACCCACAGCAGTGATACAGACACAGTAAAGTACTGCAGTATTACTACCAAACACACAGACAGTGATGCAGACACAGTAAAGTACTGCAGTAATACTACCAAACCCACAGACAGTGATACAGACACAGTAAAGTACTGCAGTATTACTACCAAACACACAGACAGTGATGCAGACACAGTAAAGTACTGCAGTATTACTACCAAACACACAGACAGTGATGCAGACACAGTAAAGTACTGCAGTATTACTACCAAACCCACAGACAGTGATACAGACACAGTAAAGTACTGCAGTAATATGAGTCATTTAAACCACTTAAGTGTCCAAACCCAATAAAAACACTTCATATTTATACACCACAGTGGGCACAGCTGTCTTGGATTCTGACTCAGAATCCTTGCTCGATCGACTTTTTCCACCACTGAGGTCTGAGTCGTGCCTTCCCAGAAAAAAGGGGGTGTCACGCATGTCACTAGGCAACTTCCTTGGAAAACCGATTCGGAAGGAAAATCAAACGCAGGGTTATTCCAGTCTTTCTGAATCCCGACAGGATGGTTTCGGTGTCACTGAAGTCCAGGCTTTGTTGATTCATCCAAAGACTTCAGGAAAGTTGCATGTTGCACACTCCCAGTGTCACAAGTTTCTCGCTCCAAACTTTCTTTTTGCTTCTCGATTACTGTTTTCAGTTGTAGATTTCGCTACCTGCAGCTTGTATCTGCAAAATATGATTCTCTTTTTGGGGGGCAAGTTTGTTTAAATGCTAAGGGTTCAGTGGTACAGAAGTAACTGACTGACATGATACAGACAGGACAGAGGCTCTTTCTGCAGGAGACATGTGCAGTAGAGTGAAGTGGCAGTGGTTCAGGAGGAACAGGAGCAGCAGATACTCACACACAAGACTAGAGAGCCCTTTTGAGGCTGTCAGTGTGAACATTTTAATATAGAAGTTGCACTGGAGTATGAGGAAAAAAAGTGTGACTATAATATCATAAAAATATGGTATATTTAGGAAGTGAGCCTCCCCGCCTCAAGTGGAGGAGTTCAAGTATCTCGGGGTCTTGTATCTCGGGAGGATGGAGCGTGAGATTGACAGGCGGATCGGTGCGGCGTTGGCAGTGATGCGGTCGCTGTATCGGACCGTTGTGGTGAAGATTTACCGGTCAGTCTTCGTTCATCCTCTCACCTGTGGTCATGAGCTTTGGGTAAAGACCAAAAAGACGAGATCGCGGATACAATCGCTGAGAAAATGAGTTTCCTTTGCAGGGTGGCTGGGCGCTCCCTTGGAGATAGGGTGAGGAGCTCAGTCACACAGGAGGAGCTCGGAGTAGAGCCGCTGCTCCACCACATAGAGAGGAGCCAGTTAAGGCTGCTTGGGCATCTGTTCTTGGTGCCTCCTGGGCGTGTGTTCCAGACATGTCCCACTGGGAGGAGGCCCCGGGGAAGACCCAAGACATGCTGGAGGGACTATGGCTGGGTTCAGACTGCAGCCTGAAGTGACCCAAATCAGATTTTTTGGCCCCTGTGTGACCTGTATCTGATCTTTTAATGACAGTCTGAACCACACAGATCCGATTTTTTCAAATGTGACCCAGGACACTTGGATATGTGCTCCTGAAACCGATACATATCTGATCTTTTGACATGTGACTTCAGTCTGAACGGTCAAAGCGCATCCATCCGACCTACACGTTATCAACAAGCCTCAAACGTCACTATTCTGCACTGAAGTAGGCGAAAATTGTTAATGAACTCTGTGTCACTGAAGTGAAGCACATCACCACTCACCACTCTCGGCTCCGTCTCCACATCCACACGTTCCTTTCAACAGACGTCGCTGCCACTGTCCCACAAAACACCACGACCAAAAACCTCGTCCTTCTCCTCTTTAAAACAAGTCAGTTGTTCATGTTCTGGCTCCAGTACAAGAGAACCTTTAAAATCTCCAGGTGCTCGATGCTGCATCCATGTTTGGACAACTTCTGTAAACACAGAGACGCTCGCTGCGGTTGACGTCGTCGTGTCTCCAGTGTCACATGCGGGACACTTTCGGGTCGTTTAATGTTCACACTGGAGTCACATATAAGTCACATTTAATTGGAAATGTGAACGACCTCGCAAAAACATCGGATTTCACAAAAAAAATCGGAATTGAGCATTAAGCCCTGCAGTCTGAACGTAGCCTTAGACTGATGCTCCCGCGACCCGGCCCCGGATAAGCGGAAGAAAATGGATGGAGGAATTGAGCGCGGGGGCACTTTCGGCTCCATCGACTCTGGCTCTAGTTCACTTTGTACTGAGAAAATGTGGCCCCTCTGTCTATCACTGCTGCTGTCAGGCTCCTCATTTTGGTCTTAAATGTTTGTATTAACGCTCTACATGATCCTGGTGTTTTGAACTTCACTTTTTTGCCCATAAATCAATTCCTGTCCCTAATATAAAATTAAAATTTGCTCCTGTAAGTGCTGGCCTCGTGAGCTTCATTTGACTGAGGCCTGGTTGGATGTGGTTAGCCTGTCCTCTCCTCTCAGTAAGGAGGTTGTGGGTTAGACTCCCGACTTTACGTACATGTGTTTTTATTTTTCAGAGACTAAAGATGAACAAACTGTTTATTCAGAGGTGAACATCAAGAAGGGAGAGTCGGCCGAGCAAAATCCAAACCAAACAAGTGTGAGAACTGACAGACCCAAAGAGCCACGACCTCCAGCCTCGCACCAGAAAGGTCTGTATCTGTCAGGAGCTGTAGACCTGCTGTACACCTGCTGTAGTCCTGGTTTAGACCTGGTTTAGACCTGGTTTAGACCTGGTTTAGACCTGGTGTAGTCCTGGTTGAGACCTGGTTTAGACTTGATTTAGTCCTGGTTTAGACCTGGTGTAGTCCTGGTTTAGAACTGGTTTAGACCTGGTTTAGACCTGGTTTAGTCCTGGTTTAGTCCTGGTTTAGACCTGGTTTAGTCCTGGTTTAGACCTGGTTTAGACCTGGTTTAGTAGTCCCTGGTTTAGACCTGGTTTAGTCCTGGTTTAGTCCTGGTTTAGTCCTGGTTTAGACCTGGTTTAGTCCTGGTTTAGACCTGGTTTAGACCTGGTTTAGTCCTGGTTTAGACCTGGTTTAGACCTGGTGTAGTCCTGGTTTAGTCCTGGTTTAGACCTGGTTTAGTCCTGGTTTAGACCTGGTTTAGACCTGGTGTAGTCCTGGTTTAGACCTGGTTTAGTCCTGGTTTAGTCCTGGTTTAGACCTGGTTTTAGTCCTGGTTTAGACCTGGTTTTAGACCTGGTTTAGTCCTGGTTTAGTCCTGGTTTTAGTCCTGGTTTTAGACCTGGTTTAGACCTGGTTTGGACCTGGTTTAGACCTGGTTTAGTCCTGGTTTAGTCCTGGTTTAGACCTGGTTTAGACCTGGTTTGGACCTGGTTTAGTCCTGGTTTAGGGTTTAGTCCTGGTTTAGACCTGGTTTAGGACCTGGTTTAGTCCTGGTTTAGACCTGGTTTAGACCTGGTTTGGACCTGGTTTAGTCCTGGTTTAGACCTGGTTTAGACCTGGTTTGGACCTGGTTTAGTCCTGGTTTAGACCTGGTTTAGACCTGGTTTGGACCTGGTTTAGTCCTGGTTTAGTCTCTGTAGGGCTGTTTTCTGTGAGATGTTCACATTATGTCATGTTTCCCAACGACAGTGTGACAACACTGGAGAGTTGTGAATGAAGAAACAAAACCTCCCTGAATGACGCAAAAAAAACAAAACAAAAACAAAACAAAACTGTACTTTCTGTAATTTCAATATTTATTCATTTTATTAATTTTACAAATTAAAAAAAAGAAATTTGCATAACAAAAATAAAATACAAAATAGTAAATCTGAAAAACAATAACAATTTTAGACCAATGTACACCTGGTTTGTCCTGAAGTCTCAGTAATGTGCGTGTGCGTGTGCATGTGCGTGTGCATGTGCGTGTGTGTTCATGTGTGTGTTATGTCCTGCAGGTGGTGTGCGTCCCATGTGCGTCTTCTCGGTGCTGCTCGTGTGTCTGTGTGTTCTTCTGGGCAGCACTGCAGGACTCATCTACTGTGAGTACACTCAGCGGCCTCTAGGGGCGCTCTTCATCCTCACTTTAGTCTCATGTATTTGTAAAGAACATTTCAAAACAACCACAACCAGTACTGAACATACAAGTGTAAACCCCAATACACAACACAACAGCACGAGAAACAAGATCAAGATCCATTTAGGATAGAATTATTACACAAAGAAATGCTTTAGTCCTGCTCTAGTCTTGGTTTAGACCTGTTTTAGAGCCAGTGTAGTCCTGGTTTAGTTTTGATTTAGTCCTGCTTCAGTTCTGGTTTATACTTACACTTGTGAGTCAGATTGTGTCTTTAACCTTTTACAGAGCTCCAGTGCACTGTATAAAGAAACATGACGTCACACATAAGGTTCAGCTTCATTCAAATGAAGCGGTTACACGGACAAATTTGGAGCCAGGCTCCATATTATGAATCTGATTTTTTTTTTAAGTAGTGAAAGAAAAACAGGATCATGTGTCGTGGGTTAATATAAACATTTTCAGACCAAAATGACGACGCTCACAGCAGCAGGTACAGAGAGAAGAGCCACAGCACTGACAATGTAAGTCAATGGGAGCCGGGATCAGAAGGAGCCAGAAGAGCCACATGTGAACTTCCTATTTGAAACACAGCAGCTAGCACGTTAGTTATGACCATTTATATCTACAGTCTATGGTCTGAGCAGCTCTGAGGAGCCTCGTGTCCATAGGGCCGGTACAGTATGTACCCACGCAGGGTCACATAAAGAGATCTGTTCTGGCCATATTAAGGTACAACCTTCCAAAGGCGTCTGGGACACTTTCAGATGGTCTCTTTTCTCTTGAACAGCTTAAAATAATTTATGTGAAGAGAAAATACACAACACATGAGCAGATGGTACGAGGCCTGTGTCTGCAGCCTCAATGAAAGACGATGTTTGTCTTCAACAAGGACTTAGGTTAAGGTGTGGAGTGAGCCTGAGGCCTAACGGAGTCTTTACCAACAGAAAATATTATACAGTACAGTATTTAGTTTTAGAGTATTTGACCTTTCCCCAAACTTTGGTGAATCTAAACTTCATTGTTTGAGTCAGAATCAGAGTGAAACTCTTGCTCCCATCTTATTAATGACTTTAGTCCATATTAATGTTTCAGTGTCAATATCCACGACCAAGCAGCACTCGGAGAACCTGCGCCTGTCTTCAGAGATGTCCCTGCTCCAGGAGGAGATTGTGAGGCTCAAGGGCCAATGGGCAGAGCTACAGAATCTAACCCACAACCTTTACCAACAGAGTGACCAACTCAACTGGACCCTCCAAGTCATCCTGGACTTCAGCCGGTTCCCCGTCAGTGACTTCTGTCCAAACAAAGGTAAGTGTGAGCTGGTCAGATAGTGTAGCCTACGAGAACACGCCACAGTACAACACAGTCTCTGGTTCAATTCCCAGACTCTAATGAAATGATTCATTCCCTTTGAGTATTTCACATTTGCCGACACCTCTAGCATCTCAAATGTCTATAGCTCCTTAGCTAGCCTCTTCCACAGTCTCCATGGATACGGGAAAATCAAACAGTCCCTTGTGTTCACCCCCTAACAATAAACCAAACTCTACACACTAAAGCCCTTTGTATACCTGTGTTTATACCACTGTTTTTTAATACCTCCAGAACCCCCCCCACACACACACACCCACACACCCACCCTTTAGTTCTCCAGACACCACCCCTCCTCCCCTTCACTCTCCCCTTTAGTCCTCAAGACACCGCACCCCTACTCTCCCCTTTAGTCTTCCAGACACCGCCCCCCCCCCCCCCACTATTCCCTTTAGTCCTCTAGACACCGCCCCTCCTCCCTCCTCACTCTCCCCTTTGGTTCTCCAGACACGCCCTCTCCCCTTTAGTCCTCTAGACACCGCCCCTCCTCCCCCTCACTCTCCCCTTTAGACACCCCCATCTCTCCCTTTAGTCCTCCAGACACGACCGCCTCCCACTCTCCCCTTTAGTCCTCCAGACACGACCCCCCACTCTCCCCTTTAGTCTCCAGACACCACCCCCCCCACTCTCCCCTTTAGTCCTCCAGACACCCCCCCCCCACACTCTCCCTTTAGTGCTCCAGACACGACCCCCCCCACTTTCCCCTTTAGTCCTCCGACACCCCCTCACTCTCCCCTTTAGTCCTCCAGAAACGACCCCCTCACTCTCCCCTTTAGTCCTCCAGAAACGACCCCCCCACTTTCCCCTTTAGTCCTCCAGACACCCCCTCACTCTCCCCTTTAGTCCCCCAGACACCACCACCCCTCTCTCCAGGCCCCCCCTGTTTCCACACCGTCCTCCAGGCCCCCCCTCCCCCTTCACTCTCCCCTTTAGCCCCCAGACCACCCCCCCTCTCCCCTTTAGTCCTCCAGGCCCCGCCCCTCCCCCCTTCACTCCCCCTTTAGTCCCCAGACACCATTGTCCCCAGACACCTCTCCCCTTTAGTCCCCAGGCCCCGCCCCTCCCCCTTCACTCTCCCCTTTAGTCCCCCAGACACCACCCCCCCACTCTCCCCTTTAGTCCTCCAGGCCCCGCCCCTCCCCCCTTCACTCTCCCCTTTAGTCCCCCAGACACCATCACCCCCACTCTCCCCTTTAGTCCCCCAGACACCACCCCCCCACTCTCCCCTTTAGTCCTCCAGGCCCCGCCCTCCCCCCTTCACTCTCCCCTTTAGTCCCCCAGACACCACCCCCCACTCTCCCTTTTAGTCCCCCAGACACACCCCCCTCTCCCCTTTAGTCCTCCAGGCCCCGCCCCCCCCCTTCACTCTCCCCTTTAGTCCCCCAGACACCACCCCCCCCTCTCCCCTTCCTCCATACACCACCACCCACTCTCCCCTTTAGTCCTCCAGGCCCCGCCCCTCCCCCTTCACTCTCCCCTTTAGTCCCCCAGACACCACCCCCCCCTCTCCCCTTTAGTCCTCCATACACCACCCCCCACTCTCCCCTTTAGTCCTCCAGGCCCCGCCCCTCCCCTTTCGCTCTCCCCCTGAAACATGCTTGTGGGGGAGTTTTAATAGTTTAAACCTTCCGGACCCTCACGTCTTGGTGTCGTTTCAGAGTGTCGTCCATGTTTGGATGGGTGGCTGCTCTTTCAGAACAGTTGTTACCTGTTTTATGAAGAACAATGGGTGGAGAACCTGGGATAGGAGCCAGACCTACTGCAAAGAGAAGAGCGCCATCTCTGGACTGGTGGTTATTAACTCAATCGAGGAGCAGGTGAATCAGACGGTTTAACTCTTTAATTTTATTCAGGCTAAAGATGGACAGTCTGCCAAAAACAGAGGAGCACAGACAGAGATAAATTGTACTCAAGTAAGACTAACATTACTTCAAACTAATATTGAGTACAGAGCATTTATTTGTCAAAAGTACTACTCAAGAGTAAATTTATAATTTTAAGTTGGGCTGGGCGATCTGGACAAAAATCTGTATCTCTATAATTTTTCATATCTTGATAGACAATATACTGTATATCTCAATATCTTTTGACAATATGAAAGACTTTTTATCCCTAAAGGCCAATAGTTAAAGATTTCAGAATGTAATTGTCAGACTTATTTTGCCTGCTCCTGATTTAGAAAATCCATCATAAATGAATAATATCACACAGATGTGTGTGTAATCCCTCAGTCGTCCAGGTCGGATCCATAACAAAAGTAAAATGACTGAGTTTGCTAAGCAGGACGCACAACTACTTGGTTTTTCCCTCAGTTATCACCTATAGACGCTGGACAAGTCTCAGTTTTCCACTTCTCTTCATTCTCTCAGAATGGCTTTTTTTTAAACTATTTTCTCCAGTGTTATATCTGTTTGTATGGGTTTATTATAAAGCAGGTGGAAAATGGAAAAACACACTGTGTGTCCATGTGTTTGCAGCCTCTCATGCTAATCATTTTGCTCCTTACCAAACTTTTATACAAACTTTTACACTAGACTTTTATACTAGAAACTACAGCCCACACAGCCCTTTCCTTTGTGGGACACAGCGTGGACTTGAGCTTGGGACACTTTTTGGGTGCATTTTGCAATAAATAATGAGTAACATGAAGATGTCTGCAGCAGACACAGAAACTTAAAAAAAAAAAAAAAACACATTTCCTGAAAATGAAATGAAATACGAAACAAAAAAAAAAAATAAAACCTATGATAATTCTAGATAAATGTTCCTGATAATAACATTAGTTTATGCACATATTTAGAATAACATGAAAAATGTGAAAAACTGCATCATATGTGAAGGACAGATAGAGACAAAAATGTTCAAATCGTTTCATATTGTCAACATGAAGCTTTTGGCACTTGTACTTGGTGCAGAGGAACCAGAACTTTTGCTCATATTGTCAAGTAGGAGTAAAAAGTACTCTGAAAAGTACATTATCTTACTCAGCTGAATATAAAGTAGAATATAAAGTAAATATCAGAGGTGGGACCAAGTCCTTGTTTTACAAGTCTCAAGTCTTTGACCTCAAGTCCGAGTCAAGTCCCAAGTCAAATACAGACAAGTCCAAGTCGAGTCTCGAGCCACTGGCTCATAAGTCCAAGTCAAGTCCAAGTCTTCTGCTTTGAGCTTCAGGTCATTTCAAGTCTTTAAATCAAAAAAGTACCAAATATAGTTTAGATTTTTGCAGTTTGACTTTTAAACTAAATTGTACTTAAAAAGTCATGGTATATTTATATGTGAGTATTTATATAAGAGTTGGAGAAATGCTATTTTTTTCCTTTTTTAATGTCTTGACAAGAGAGCAAATCATTACAGTCAGAACAGAAAGAATTCAGATGTAAAAGTGTTTAACAACAGTTATTTTGTCAAGTCGTCTGCACTGAAATAGAAGGATCATGTTCTATGTAGTTCCCTCTGTTTCACTGCATTGTACTGTATATTACTGTAGTACATTTGAGGTGTCATATCACAGTACTTCAGTTACATCTAAAGTAACAAACAGAAGTGGGAGGGACATGTTCCAGTTTGTTCCTGTAAAATTGAGCACTGCATTTATCAACTGTAAAGTATTTTATAAAAACATATATATTTTTTAAGAAAAGCATCAATCTTTTCAAGTCACTGGGCTCAAGTCTAAGTCAAGTCCCAAGTCTTTGTCTATTTTATCAAGTCAAGGCTCAAGTCCTAAAAATAGTGACTCAAGTCTGACTCGAGTCCATGTCATGACTTGCAAGTCCCCCACCTCTGGTAAATGTAACTGAGTACTACCCGTTTTATTTAAAACATCTACACCAAGATTTTGTTGGAGCCAGATTTGATCAAGATTCATATCAAAGTTTGTGTTTTTGTATTGACTTGTAGAGACTCGCCACAGTCATAGTGCACAGTGCATAGGCCTTTGGACTCATCTGCATGAACACAGTTGTAGTTTTAGGTGTAAATATTGTGTTGTGATTAACAGGAGTTCATACATGCAAACATCAAACATTACTATGACGACTACCATGGATACTGGATCGGTCTGTCAAAGCAGAATGGGAAGTGGGTGTGGGACGATGGACGGGAGGACACACTGGGGTGAGTCTGCTCTTTCAAACCACCGGGGGACGCTGTCCTCTTCAACATTATGGTATGTTTTATTCAGTGCATAGTCAGTGTTGTGAAGGTGACTTTTAAAATGTATTCCCCTACAGATTACAGATTACATACCCCAAAATGTAGTTTGTAATATAATCCATTAAATTATTTAAAGTGAGTAATGTAATCTGAATACTTTGAATTACTTGATTTGCTGTGGAGAAGCAAAGACTCGGATATCTTCACATAAGACGTTTTGTCTGCTAAAAGAAAATTTAAAAAAACAGTCTTTACTTAACCAAATTAGAAATAGTATTGATAGAAGACGAGGAGACACAGTCCGCACGGAGATTTAGTCCTGTTAAATCCTGTTTGAGACATAGTTTAGACCTGGTTTAGTCCTGGTTTAGTCCTGGTTTAGACCTGGTTTAGTCCTGGTTTTAGACCTGATTTTAGTGTCCAGCAATGAGTGAATTACTGAAGAAAAAAAAAAAAAAAAAAAAGGAAGGGAATAGCCCAAAATGTGAAAACAGAAAAATACCGCTGTGTAATCCATTTATTTCAACCAAGTAACTGTAATCTAATTACCACTCACTGAAACAGTAACTGTAACTGAATACAGTTACTCATAATTTGTACTCTGATTACGTAACTCTGGAACATGTAATCTGTTACTGCCCAGCACTGTGCATAGTACACTCAGATGGCTGATGTCCAAAAGCTTTGTATACACATACTAAACTGTTCAGTGGGGTGGAGTGTGTATACCTGTTCGACCAATCACACTGTGCCTTAGACGTTTTTGTGTGTAATTTTCTGTGTTGTGTTAGGTTCTGGATGAAGAAAGAATTCGGAGACACTGGTCCCAAAGCTCTGATGATCCCGAATCAGAACGTGACGGAGAGTTGGGATCCTGCAAAAAACGAGATGAACAACAGGTTCATCTGTGAAAGTAAAGCACTCATCATCAACTGATACTTGTGCAATTACTACAAACCAAATCAAATGTACAACTATGACTATTCCTACTGCTACTAATATTACTACTGCTACTATTCCTACTGCTACTAATATTACTACTGCTACTAATACTACGACTACTACTACTACTACTACTACTGCCACTGCTGCTAAAACTGCCATTTCTGTGACAAAAAAAGTATAAAAAATTGAACTAATATTACTGCTAAACTAAACAGACTACTAAAACAGCTTTTACTACTACTACTGCCAATTATTACTGCTACTGCTACTACTAGTACTACAAATACTACTGCTACTACCTCTCTTACTACCATTTCTACTCTGCAACAATAACTATGAAAAGTAGAACTAATAATATACTACTACAACAGCTTCTACTACTACTGCCAATTATTGCTGCTACTACTAGTACTACAACTACTACTGCTACTACCTCTTTTACTACTGTCGCAACTAGAACTATTTCAAAAAGTATGAAAAAACAGAACTAATATTACTTCTACTACTACTGCAACTTCTGCTATTACTACTACTGCAACTCATCTTTCACTCCGTATTTAAACCGTTAAGTAAAACAAGAGCAGTGGTGCGAACAAGTATTTTTATTTTTCTGTATAAAAATGTAGACATGTAAACATAAACTCCATGCAAGAATTTTAAAGATATTAAACACACAGATTTAGATCACCGTGTTAGCGTTTATTGTTCATATTAAAATGTTAAAACGTTGAATAAGGTTCAGTTTTGTTTTTGACAATTTGCTCTCACTCCCTCTACAGATGATGAAATTAAAAAATAATAATAAAAACATCTTATAATAATAATGATAATCAGTGTGGTTTTATGACAGAACATTCAACTGTATGGCAATAATGCAACAAACCCTTGTGTAAAATAGAGTTGTCAGGTAAAATTATACATCACAAAAAATACTAAACCAAATTTGAACATTTGAAGTATTAACATAGGTCAGAATCAAAACAATTTTCAATAATTAAAAGTAAATCATTTATTTATGTATTTATTTATTGAATAGGGACAGTGTATATTAATGAACATTTACAACATTGCAGCGTAAATCTGACAGATTATAACAAAAATGCTAATTTCCGTCTGTAGTCCCTCGGCAGGAAACACCACACATTTAACAAAAAAAACAAAAACAATAACAAGAGTTTTACATTAAACGTGTCTACAAGTCTGTTTTCCCTTTAGCCTGTTTCAAGTGGGATTTGAAAGTGTTCAGTGTTGGAGTCTCTCTTATTGATAGTGGGAGAATATTCCAGAATTTAGTGCCTCTGACTGAGGGCCTGTTTACACGAGAACGCCTGTGGGTAAAAATGACAAAATATTTTATCGGAAGTGCCTTTTGTTTAGACCGTGACAATTTTTGGGGCTTAAAAACACAAAAATGTGAAACCACCCTCCAGAGTGGAAAAGGTGAATACACTCTGCCGTAATGTTTCCGTCTACACTGCCCAAGACACAAAACTCTGGTCAGATCTGCTCACGTCGTGTACACGTTTACGTCACATACATGACTCTGTGGTGGCATCAGCCGTCCTGTACGGTGTGGTCTGCTGGAGCAGCAGCATCACAGAGAGGGAGAGGAAGAAGCTGGACAAACTCTGTCCTGGTCTGTCCTCTGGACTCAGTGCAGGAGGTGGGGGACAGGAGGGTCCTGACTAAGGTCATCTTTATGCTGGGCCATGAGTCTGACCCCCTGCAGGACGCTCTGTCTGCTCTGGAGAGCAGCTTCAGTGAGACTGATTCACCCTCGCTGTGTGAAGGAGTTTTCACAGATCTTTCCTTCCTGCTGCTGTCAGACTGTACAACAAACACTGTTAACACTGAACATGTGTCATTCAGTTATATCCATGTGCAATTATTTTAAAGCCTATTTTTAAAATTATTTTTAAGCTATTATTTATTATAGACATATCTTATCTTATACAGTGCACAGAAACAAACATGTTGGATCATTTCCATGCGTCGGACCTTCAAGTCTTATAAACTTCTAATAAACTTACAGTAGGTAATTTAGATTAGTGAACAGAGAAGGATCTGCAATCACCTCAAATTCTGGATGCATCAGGTCGTCACAGTCGAGTCAGACGGATACGGACGAGACCTGGAGAACCAGTCGATGGTGGGACAACTTTGTGGAAGGAGGAGCTGATGAAAACGTGTGGTGTGAAAACTTCTATGTCCAAAGATGCTCTTGTTGCTTTAAGTACAAACACACACAATCCAATTCCACACACTTTTGCGTCACCATATGTACGCAGATTTCCTCCTGAAAACACTTGTCTAAACGTGGAATAAAAAGTGAAGAAGCGACGCCACTTTTGCATCTTCTGTTCAGACCGTCATTATATAAATGTAGCCTGAGACACACTTTGTCCAAATGTGGTGCATCTGTGTGGAGCTCACAGTTCCTCCGGTCTTTGTTTTAATAAAATCCTGTAAGAGAGGAGGGGCAAGTCCATACAAAACTTCATATATAAAATCAACACAATTATTACAATGAAGCAAGTTGTATTTGTCTAAAATTGTGCAGTGGTGAAATGAGAGTGGTTTCTTGTCCAATATTTTTTACAGTTTTGTTTTTCTTTTGACTGGTTTGAGTTTTGTGCCAGCAGCAAGTGACCGTGTGGTTCTGCAAAACTCTGTATGAGACACAATCATGGAGCGTAAAAACATTTGTGCCGCATTTAGAGTCAGCAACCAAAGTCGACCAAAGTACTGTACAACATTAAAACAAGATTAAAAAAACAATAAACATCATACAAATAGGTCAACAAAGCACATTACTGGGGAGTGTTGCATTTTAAAGCTTCATTTCCACTGATATTTATTACTGGTGTTTTTAGGAGCTATTTTATTGAGTTTATATATGAATGATCTTCTTGAAATGTGTCCAAATGTCAGTGTCCACCTGTACGCTGATGATGCTGATCTTTACACAGGCCAAAACTGTACAAGAAGCTTCAGAACAGCTTCTGTTAACTCGCTTCAGTTCACATCAGCCGTGACTCATGTCCAAAAGTGGGTGAGGAACTCATGCTTGCAACTCAGTATAAAGAAAACTGCATGATGTTCAGTCAAAAAATGTCAATGTGGGGTCCAACGTCAGTCCCAGGTCCAGTATTTAAACTCTTTGACGAGGCTGAGTTCCACCCCGTCCACACAAACACTGCACCAGTGGAACTCAGTTGTTTTTTTTAATGAACATCATGCAGACAGTTTTCTTTATACTGAGTTGCAAGCACGAGTTCTTCACCCACTTTTGGATAAGAGTCATGATCAGTGTTGGGAGTAACGTGTCATAAAAGTAACGAATTACTGCAATGCATTGCTTTTTGCTGTAACGCAGTAATGTGGCATTACAGGGAACAGACTACTCAATTTGTACTTGGTACAAATGTGAGTAACGCGCATTACAATACTTTTTTAACCTGGATTGAAGTTGTGGGTTTTTCTTCATAGAAATTCACTATAATCACAGCAATATCAGCAGTGGTGAAACACCAGAGATGCGGCCACGTACACCGTCAGTTAACTGCTTGCGAAAGGACCAACGCAGAACTCTACGCTGCTTACACCTGGTTTAGACCTGGTTTAGACCTGGGTCAGTTCTGGATTAGACCTGGTTTACAGTCGTCCCTCGCTCTATCGCGCTTTCACTTTTTGCGGTCTCGCTGTTTGTGTGCACTTTTGCATGCTTTTTCTTTTTACAGTGTATGAACACGTATTGCGTTCCTCCCGCTGTGTCCTGATTGGCTAAGGGACTCCTGTCTCCTGTACAGTACAGAATGTGTTCAGCTGTCAAATTTAAATAAATGTTTGATCTGTATCAGTGTGATTCTGAAGTGCTGTATGTTTGCAAGTTTTCTCCCCGACAAAACCCACAATGTCGACGAAATGTTCTGCACCGACAAAGGCTCTTGTGCTCACACCCAAAAGACAGAGGAAGATGTAACCATCACACAAAAAGTTGGACTTCTGGATATGATGAAGGAAGGTAGAAGTTATGCGCTGTAGTAGAGTCTTGCACTGTGTTGGGTCCCCGCAAATAGCTGCTGAAATCAGGGCCGCGAGCCCCCGCAGCAGGGTGTCCATAAAGCGTGATCGGGCGACAGCGGCTCTTACCTCCATGAGGTGCGGAGCAGAGCCGCTCCTTTCTCCTGCGGTCACCTTCGAGCCCGTCCTGACAGTGAGTCCTGTTTTAGTCCTTGTTCAGCTCTGGTTTAGACCTGTTTTAGTCCTGGTTTAGTCCTGGTTTAGTCCTGGTTCAGCTCTGGTTTAGACCTGGTTTAGTCCTGGTTTAGTCCTGGTTCAGTCCATACGCAGCGCAGAAGTTAAGCATCTTCGCAGTTATTTTGGTGAGAGTAACTTAAAGTGCTGCAATAGTCATGTAATGCCTTACATTTTAAATACAGTAATATTGTAATGTAACAAATGACTTTGAAATGACAGTAATAAGTAATAAATAACACATTACAGTTTTAAAGTCACTTGCCCAACAGTGGTCATGGCTGATGTGAACATTTGGACACATTTCAAGAAGATCATTCATATATAGACTGAATAAAATAACTCCTAAAAACACCAGTAATAAATATCAGTGGAAATGGAGCCTTAAAGTGCAACACTCCCGAGTACCACCAGGGGGAACTGTGCCACAGCTTGTGAACTGCTGATCCTCACTCAAAAGAAAAAAGACTCCTGTGAGATTTTCTGCCTGTACAATCTTTAAAACAATCACCCAATCACCAGAGTCAATACCACAGACCTCACAAGTTACAACTTTTATTTTACATCTGTATAGAGAACCATAAGCAGAAATAATCTTATCTTGAAATTATAAATCAGGTCAAAAATATACTGAAGCAAGTTAAATAGTATAGGACCAGTTAGTAAATAAATCTAGTCAAAAGTACTCAAGATATTTAAGTAAGTGAACTTCATTTTTCCAGTGTGTGTTTAGTGTCATGCTGCAGATTAGCCACAACAGTCCTGGTTTTCATCCTCCGCTCTTTCTCTCCTCGTTCCTTTACCATATATTCACACACAGTCACATATGTAAACTAAAGACATGCAAAATCCTTTCTAGTTTTCATTTTACTCGTGCAGGTCACTAAGGAGGCAGCAGCAGAGGCACAAACTAAAGACTGAGTGGAGAGATATGCAAAACATTTCAGTGTATTTTAGGCAGCGCTGTAGTAGATATTTCTAAGGTATTATGCAAACTCTCCCCAGCACTACTCCACATGTGTACAACCTCCAAGTGCTGTTACAGTTTAAATACCGTCGATTTGAGCTCCCCAGGCACATTTTAACCCTATAAAGCCTGACACATGAAATAACTGACAGAAAATTCTAAATGTAAGAAAGAAAATGTAAAAATAAATAAATAAATAAATAATTAATAATAATAATAATAATAATAATAATAATAATAATAAATGCATCATATTTGATACGTTGGGTCTTTATGGCCGTTTTGTAGAACCTAACCATGTTCATTTTAGGAACAAACAAAATTCTCTTTGATGCATTTAGAACTCAGAAAAACCTTTCTGAACATTTCTTTTTATGTTTTTTAAATGTCTGAGCAGGATGATTTTTATTTTGCCATGTGGTGGCAAGAAAACAGTTTGGGTCCTTGTTCATGCTCAGATGTACATTACATTTCCCACCGTGTGTGAAATGATTATAAATATATGTTAAAATAAAAATAAATGAGTGAATCTTTTATATCCTCTGAACCAGTCAAATACAGATTATTAATAATTTTGTGTGTGGAAATTGAAGAGGGGGACAGGTACACCAAATAAACCACTGCACCTTTCATTTATATACAAATGTAAAAATTAAAATTCCACCATTATGCAATAATAATAATAATAATAATAATAATAATAATAATAATAATTGAAAATATATATTTTAAGGTGACATTTTAGTTATGAAATACTAAAAATTGTGTGGTGTTAAATCTGCATGGAACTGCATGAATTAGGCAGATTACATCATAAAATGTATAGTGATGGATGAGGAACATAATCACAAAGACCTACTGTATCAAATATGATACATACAATTTAAACACATTTTTTCTACAAACTGAAAATAAAAATAAGAAGACTTCATAGATTAATCTAAGAAAGTAAATGTTCATATTGGAGAATCACTAACAATATTTAGGCAATTCTTTCACTAACCTTTTCCAAATTTACAAAGTCGTTCGTCCAAAAACAGAGAAAGTCACACCCACCAATGTGACCATTTTAAAAACATCTCCTCTGAGCCTGTTATTTACTGACAGTCATGGAAAGTCCACTAGGGGACAGCAGACAAGTGTTTAATTGTATACAACAGGTTTTTCAGGAAAAATATAGATTATGTGTGTGGGCAGAGGTCTCAGAATGTTGTGTATCAAATGTGATACAAATGGCTTTATAGGGAGAAAAGTGTATTGGTTTTATTGTATGTTTGGACCAGTTAAGCAACGACATGTGCAGGTTCGATTTATGTCAGAAAACCTGCATTAGATGTTTGAATAGTTTGGATTTAATATTTGATTTTATCGTTCTCATTTTCATTACATCATATTTTATTTTGTTTCCATGAGTAGAAAATGTTGTAACTTTTTTAAAAAGTCGCCATATAAATAAAATAAAACTGTATTTTAAAAGGAAATTCACACTGTAGCCTTTGATATTTATTTAAGATAAAGATTTCAGTGTTTCCAGTAATTTCTTTGTCTTATACAGTGGGAGCCTTATTTGATAGAAGATATGGGCCTGTCGAAATGAGCTCCTCTGCCCAAATTCATCTAAATGAGTGAATAATGTTGATTCTACAATGGGAGCATTATTTGATGGATAAATTACCTAACCCTGTTGATATGTGCTGCTTTTAGTCGGCGCCTTATTTGAGCAGAATACGACTGTCAACATGAACTACACAGATTCATGTACATGAGTTGAAATTGTACAAAACTAAAGTATAAAAGGTTAGATTTACTGGATCTATACATCTGTAAATGGAAAAACGTAAAGTATCTTCTTTCAACGGGGTAGAGTGAATCGATAGACGTCACTGTCGATTTAGGCTGCTGGGAGCTCACTTCGACGGGGCAGCTCATTTCGACAGAACACCGGGACGTTTTTTAACCCTCCTTACGATTAGCTGTAAAATTCTGTGCAGCGCTGTGCAGGACACTTGTATATTACACTTGTATTTGTGTACTTATTATTTTCTCCATAAATATACAAAAATATGATACAAAACACTGCAACTTCAGAACTTCACAAACGTGATGCGATTTGTAATCTTTCTAGAAACTGATGACGAAAATGAAGATGGGAAAAGATTAAATCAGAAACATTCAACTGTGAAAACAAAAGACGACTGATAACTGTGAAAAATAGAATTAAATCTGTTGCTGAATCTTTCATACGTATATTTGAGACAAAATAGTACTTCTTTATAAAATTGTGATAAACACAATTTCTCAAACTACAGTCTGTTTGATTCCACAGTTTTCAAAAATAGTGGAGAAGGTGTTTGTAACAAGGCTTGGCTTTTTATTTGACAAAAAAAAAACAACAACAACAAAAACAAAAGAAAAACCCACACATATCTTGAATAATAATCATTGGACATAATGTGGATTTAGGACAGAACATGCAACAGCAATAATGGAACTAAACCAAAAAAAAAAAAAAAAAAAAACACTGGAAAATTATCATGGGAATTACTTTTTAAATATACTTATGAACCTAAAAAAGCTTCCCATGTAATAAATCAAGATTACTTGCTAAAATGAGTATGGCACTGGAGGGGTGGCTCACCAACAGATAGAAAGTTATTTAGAAAACAGAAAACAATGTACAAATAAATGACACAGAATCTGAGAGGCCTGATATCAAATGGGGTGTGCCCCAAGGCTTGATTTAAAAAAAATAATAATAATAATTTTTATAAAACAATTTTGTTAAATCTGAACTTGGGAAAATTATGTTGCTGATGATACAATATTATTTTTACTCTGGAAAAAATATACAAGAGGTCACAAACACAGTAAATGAAGGGAAAGAAAGTTTAAAAATAAGCTTGATTTAAATGGATTGATTCTTCATGTTAAAAAAAAATCATTTTCTTTAATGATAACAATTTTTAAAATGACATAACATTAGAAATAGATGAGATACAGATTTCAAAAGTAAAGGAGTCATAACTGATGGTCTAAACTGGAAGTCACATAGAAATTACACTGAGGGCACAATTTACAAAGCCTTTGCTGAAAAAGTAAAGTTTTCACTAAGTAGTACTGCTTTATTAGTACTCCAAACCTCAGCCCTCCTTCCCCCTCAGCCTTTTTCCTCCACACAAATTCCAGTGCAGCTGAGGTGGTGTGGGCGGAGCCTGTGGACATGATCGACATGTTTCTCGTACCATTGTCTTTCTTGATCTTAATGAAACTGTGCAGTGTGCTGTGGAACTGCTTCCTGCAGGACGACAACAGTATATTAACTGTGACTGTTCACACAACCTACAGCAGGACTCTCAGATTACCTGGGGGCCACTGGAGGTGGAGTCTGGGTGAGGCTGCGCCGCATCAAACATAAAAATAAAAAAAATATATATATATAATAACAATAACATTACATTGCATTGTATCGACATTCATATTATCAGCCCTCCATCTATATTAAATAATATTGGCCTATGTTACCATGTCATCTGAAACTCAGAATACAATATCTTGATTTGATTTTTACAAAGACAAGAGTGTGAAACTGAGAAAAATGACTTCAAAGTTTTTGTTTTGTCCAGACAAAAGTAGAACAGGTCGGACTTCCAAAACTTGATAACTAGTCACTATAATGAAGAAATATTTGTATGTGAAAAATCTTATGCTCAGAATTGACCTTTGACCTTATTTGTCAGTTCCTGTTCTCTGTCTTTGTATCATGAACCAAAAATAAGTTTTCGTGCAAAAGCAAAAGGCAGAAACTGACATGATCATTATTTGTTTGATTTTCTTCAGACTTCATCCATTCTAAGAAAAACACATCACCAAGCTCCAGTCGTCATGTGTTTGTTTGAAATGATCTAGAAGAGTTTTCGATTTCCTGTTTAGTGTTGATCAGGATCGTGCTGCGACATTTCCACAGCGAAACAGTTTGACACAGTGACTTTGCAGTACAGTGTGTACAGTATGAAAAAATACACACAGTACTTTCACATTAAAGATCATTGAAGTATAATTGAATACAGAGGTATATTTATTGAATGTGTTCAGACCCTGTGCCAAGACCACAACAAAAACAAGGAGGCCAGAGGTTGGATTTAAAATAAAATGTAATGACTAAATCACAAAAAAAACACACTGTTTCTGCCTTTTGTCTGTAAACGAAATTATTTTTGTCTCAGATACAAAGACTGACAAATAAGGGTCAAAGGTCAATTTTGAGCTCAATATTTTTCATGATGTTTATTCAAATGATAAAGAAGGTTTCAAATACAAACAAATGACATGAACTCATTTTTGACCAAACCTGATGTTACTGTGTTCTGTCTTTGTAGGGCAGCAATTTAGCTTGAAATAAGAACAAATGTCTTTAAGTCCATCAAAAATGTGTTATATGTAAAATATGTTATGTTATATATTGAAACAAGTTAAATAATATAAAGGTTTAGTTAGTAAATAAATCTAGTAAAAATGACTATATTCAGATCATTTGACTTGTATTCACATATGCAAACTAAAGACATGCAAAATCCTTTCTAGTTTTCATTTTATTTGTGCAGGTCACCAAGGAGGCAGCAGAGGCACAAAGATTGAGTGAAGAGATATGCAAAACATCTCAGAGTATTTCAGGCAGCTCTGGGGGAGTTTTATGCAAAGTCTTTTTTATGGAACGTTCTACCATGTTATAACATTGTTCCCTCATCAAAAACATGTCTGAAGAGGTTTTATATATTATTCATGCATGTTTAAGTAATCTAGCGATCTCTCATGAGCCTTTTTGAACCCTCCTTACATTTAGCTGTAAGATTCTGTGCAATGCTGTGTCCACAAGGCAATGTCCCCCATGCTCCCACAGGACAATTCTCCATAAATATACAAAAATATGATCCAAAACAACAACAACTTCACAAACCTGATTCGATGTGTTATCTTTCTTGGTCTCGATGAAACTGTGCAGTGTACTGTAGTACTGCTTCCTGCAGGAAGACAACAGTATATTAACTGTGACTGTTCACACAACCTACATCAGGACTCTTAGATGACCTGGGGGCCACTGGAGGTGGAGTCTGGGTCAAGTATTCAACAACATTGGGTTTCAAGTATTTTTTAAAAATCATAATATTACAGTTCAGAACCTGAACATTTCGTCAGAAAAGAAGTTGAAACTACTACTACTTCTATTACTTCTTTCACCCACTCCTTGTTCCCTGCCTCCTTCACTGGGCTTCCTTTTGCAGAGCTGAGACATTTGGCTTGAAGGAGGAAACAAATGAGATCCTCAGTATAAAATGAAGAGGTTCATCAGTGAGTTTGGACTTGTACTTTGACTTATTAAGGTTATTGGTTTTTCATATATATTTGTGCTCCCAAAAAGGTCTGCCTGAACATTCTGGAAGGCTCAGCTTAGCTGATAATCAAAGTGTGGTCCTGATTCAGTGTCACTGTCCCATAGAGTTATTAAAATAACTGGATAGGGTATTGTTATCTTAGAGCTGTCTTGGGTTGGCTTTTGCTGGACGGAGGAAGGAAGGAGGCCAAGGACTAGTGAGTGTGTGAACTGCTGTCCAGGATGAAACATCCAAGCTCCATAAGTACATCAAGGACAAGGCCCTGACAGATGATGTACTCAGAGAATGTCTCAGACAGTGGGGTTCAGAGGAAGAGGTGTTGGAGGGACCATCACGGCAGGACAAAGCCCTACACGAGGCGAACCACCGGAACAGAACTGAAGTGGCTGATATCAAGAAATCCTACACAGAGGTTCATCCTGGCAGCAAAGGAACAGGCCCTGAGCACCTGAGCAATAGAGGCCCAGATCTACCACACCAGAGAAGACCCACGGAGTAGGCCTCTTATTTGTGTAATTCTTGTATTTGTTCTTGTACTTGAGTTATATTATTCTTTTTAAATATTATTTAGTTCTCTAGACTCCACCTGTCCTCCCCCCTCACACTCCCCTTTAGTCCTCCAGACCTTGACCCTCCTCCCCCCTTTGTACTTGTACTTGAGTTATATTATTTTGAAATAACTGATTATGTTTGACTTACTCTGGTTCGTTGGGGTGCATGTAGAGGGAGGAGATCTGCTGCCAATCCTGGTTTAACGGTATGTGGACAGAGTCTGGTTTGGAGTTGTTGAAGAAGCTTTCCACGTTGCGATTGGCTAGTTCTCGGGCACGTTCTGCTGTGTACGAGTTCAAGACAGAGTTCTCTTCCTGGTTGTAGAGCCTCCAGAACTTCAGCTGGAGGTAACTGAGCGGAGACCAGCATCGAGCCAGACACCTGATGACCAGTTGGGAAAGGAAGATGGTCCCAATCAGCAGCCAGCCCACAATCTGAGGAGAGCGAGGACAGGTGAAAGAGGAGCACACAGGAGCAGAGCCAGAGGAGGGAAATTCATTCTCTGCATTTGAGCCCATCCTTCACCCAGGCCACTGGGGCAACCTGTCAGTAGCAGTGAGCTACTGTGAGTGTCGCACAGTGTCCAGGGAGACATCTCCAGATCTTCAGCTGGCTCGGCCAGGACGACCTTACCTACTGTGCATGTTTTGAGTTGAAGGTGGAAACTGGACTGCCTGCAGGAAACCCACCCAGACAGAGGGAGAACATGCAAACTCCACACAGAAAGACCTCGGGGGTGATCCCAGAATCAGCCGGTGAAACAGGCCGAGGCAAACCCTCTGCCTGGGCCACAGCCGGGGTTAAAGGGACCTAGGCTTAATTTTAGCCAGGTATATTATGCTCTAGGCCTGGGGTCACCAACACGGTGCCCACGGGCACCAGGTCGCCCACAAGAACTACATGAGTCGCCTACAGACCAGTTCTAAATATAGCACAATTCATTAGTGAGCTGCATCTACAGACTCTATAGTGGTTATGGTTTATTGTAAAGTTGAGTTTATTTATGCAGAAGATTTTAATGAAGAATCTGCTGCAGTAGAACTTGTACAACAGTGTTTGGAAACGTGGCTCTGTGCAGTTTCCTCTGGTGAGGAACCTCCTGAGCGTCCTCTGCTAAAGGAGCTCTTGGTTGTTTGTATTTTTCCTGGTTTATTAAATATATATTTTTCTGCACTTGTTTAATTGTATTTCCTGCACTTGTGTATGCGCCGCATTAAAAATAAAAAAATGTCTTGGTTGTTTGTATTTTTCCTGGTTTATTAAATATATATTTTTTGCACTTGTGTATTTGTAAGATTATGTCAATAAACCAGGACAGTACATTTATAAGGAGGATACTGATGTGCCTGTAAACACACTCACAGAAACACTGATGATAACTGCTAAAACTGTACTTAAAAATGTAACAATTACTGAGATGAATAAAGTGAAAATGCTGAATATTGATCTCTGTTTCCCACCTCGCTGTCACTGTTGATGATTATTGTGAGAAATCATGAACGTGATCAGTGTCTTCACACAGATGATTATCATGAATCATTATTAATAATATTTAAGTAAAGTCAAACTGAGCACATGTGTTATTTCAGAAGAGTGTATCAAACTGTGGTCCTTCATATGACTCAATTAATACCTGAAGGACATTTGGTCTGATAAGCTAAATAAATGTTTAGTTTAAAATTGCATTACTGTCAAAACTGTCATGGACACAGTAGTGCGTTTACTGCAAACTGGATTTTAGTCACAGGGTTTTGTAACAGAAATATGAAGTGCTTTTCCATGATATAAAAAATCTGCTATATTTTAAAATAAATCAAAATTACAATTTTGATTCATAAATCTAATATTTGATTTGAATATCTCACACATTTTCAGATAGTGGGTGTTGCTTGTTCTTGAAACACTAAAAGAAACAGATAAGACAAACCACAGCAAACCAAACACACACAACCAACAACACAAGCACAATCAAACACCAGAGTATTTCCACATCAAACATATAAATAATGTTTTTTGGTTTAATGTTGCAACATAACATCAAAGCAAGTTCCATGAATACTTCTGTTCACTGACAATGACAAACTCATTCTGATAATAAATCATTCAAGGGAAAAAAAACTGTATTTGCACACTAAACATACAAACAAAGTTTAAGGAAATAAGCTGTTAGTCAATACTGGCCACATTAACTTGAACATAGGATGTGTTGTATAGTGTATGTACCCAGTTAGGCAACAATAAGGCTACTGCATGAAGCACTTCAACATAACAGGCTCATTTTGAACTTGTACCTCAATTAAAAACTAAAAATGGTGTCCAGAGTGCTTCAGAGGATCTGGGCACACTTTAAGAACTTGACCTAAATGTTTCTGTAGCAGGAGTTAACCTGGCCTGTTACATGTAAGTGACTCAACCACCAGAACAGCAGACAAGAGCAGAGCCAGAAGAGCCAGAGGAGAAGAGCCACAAGAGCAGAGCCAGAAGAGCCAGAGGAGAAGAGCCACAAGAGCAGAGCCAGAAGAGCCAGAGGAGAAGAGCCACAAGAGCCAGAGAGCCAGAGGAGAAGAGCCACAAGAGCAGAGCCAGAGGTTAAAGAGCCAGAGCAGAAGAGCCACAAGAGCAGAGCCAGAGGAGAGAGAGCCACAAGAGCAGAGCCAGAGGTTAAAGAGCCAGAGGAGAAGAGCCACAAGAGCAGAGCCAGAGCCAGAAGAGCCAGAGGAGAAGAGCCACAAGAGCAGAGCCAGCAGAGCCAGAGGAGAAGAGCCAAAGAGCCAGAGGAGAAGAGCCACAAGAGCAGAGCCAGAGGAGCCAGAGGAGAAGAGCCACAAGAGCAGAGCCAGAGAGCCAGAGGAGAAGAGAGCCAGAGAGCAGAGAGCCAGAACAGAGCCAGAGGAAAAGAGCCAGAAGAAGAGCCAGAAGCCAGAGAAGAACAGCTGAACCAGAGAAACAGAGCCAGATGAGAAGAGCCAGAGAAGAGCCAGAGGAACAGAGCCAGAGAAGAGCCAGATGAGAAGAGCCAGAGAAGAGCCAGAGGAACAGAGCCAGAGGAGCACACTTAATATATTCACAAAAATACTGCTTTGGATCAAACAAACAAACAAAACAAAAAAAGACTTAGTTGGATTAATAGTCCACTCACACTTCATTTTGGAGTTCTAACAAAGTACCAAAAGCAGTTTTCTAAAGCCTGAAAACATAACCACCAGATTCCCCACTAACCTGTGACTCTGCTCTGAGCGTGAGGAGCACTTCGTCTCTCACGTTTTTAGGCACTTTTCCAACTTTTTCGCAGGGGAACGTGTGTAGCTCCTCCACGCAGTCCGCCTCCTTCTCCCTCCCTTTGCACAAACGGCTATTAAACATCGTCGTATTGGTCCCCGTCATGGCGCACTCTATGAACACCCCATTCAGAAGAGCCACCGCAATCCAGGTGCTCGGAGCCAGGAACACAAACGTCGAAATCTGAAGCAGCTCATTTCCGAGAGGCTTCACTTCACCGCAGCTACCACAAACTTTCTCCTCTCTACGACACAAACCGGTCACCAATTTCCATGTTTTCTTGGACAAAATGAAACTCAGGGTGAACAAGGCCAAAGCAGGAACAAGCAAAAACACCAGGCTGTAGTTGAAGTTGAGGTGGTTGCAGGGGCATTTGAAAACCACGTCTGAGAAGATCTCCTCGCCCCCCACGGTGAGTAACGTGACCAGGCCGAAGCTGAGGCCGGACTGCTTGTTGGCAATGTTGAGGATGGTTTTAAACTTGTCCATGTCGCTGCAGAGATGTGACAAAAACTACAGCGAGTTCTGGTGGTGGATGTGTGTTCCTCTTTTGAATTGGAGCGTATGACCCTCCCTTCTCTTCTCTACAACAACAGAAGCACTGTTGGTTTCACTATTTCATTCATCAGGGAAATCATGTAAACTTAGGCAAGGCAAGGCAAGTTTATTTGTATAGCACAATTCGTACACAAAGTAATTCAAAGTGCTTTACAGAATAAGAAATACATTAAAATCATAATAAAAACAAATCAAAACATAAATAATCATGAAGATTAAAATTAAAAAAAGAGAGACATAAATTGGAGAGAAGAGTGCGGAATGAAAACCTTTCAGTTATTTGCACAGTTAAACAGAAATGTTCTTGAGTCCTGGATTTAAACAGCGTCACAGAAGAGTCTGTCTCACATGTTCAGACTGTTCCAGGTTTTAGCTGCATGAACCTGAAACTCTGACTCCCCTTGTTTAGTCGTGACTCTGGGCACCAGCAGGAGGTCGGTCCCTGAGCTCCTCAGAGTGCGAGATGTTCATATGACACTAACATGTCACAGATGGACTTTGGTGCTCGGCCATGGAGACACTTGTACACAAGCAGAGCTGCTTTAAAGTTTATTCTCTGAGCCACAGGAGCCAGTGCAGAGACCTGAGCACAGGACTTATGTGCTCGTACTTCCTAGTTCGAGTAAGGACCCGAGCTGCAGCGTTCTGGATGTTCTGGATGTTCTGCAGCGTCTCACAGCTCGTTTGGAGAGACCAGTGAGCAGAACATTACAGTATCTAATCTACTGGAGACAAACGCATGGATAAGTTTCTCCAAGTCTGATTTAGACAGTAAACCTTTGATTTTTGCTATGTTTTTTAGATGGTAAAAGGCTGCAGATGTTATTGATTTTATGTGACTGTTAAAGTTCAAGTCTGAGTCCATTATTACCCCTAGATTTCTTGCCTGATTTGAAGGTTTTAGAGAGAGAGACTGGAGGTGATGCTGACACTGTCCCTTTGTTTCTGTGGACCAAACACTATGACTTCAGTCTTGTCAGAGTTTAGCTGGAGAAAGTTGTTTTGCATCCACACACTGATCTGTTGGATGCAGTGACCAAGTGAGTCCACTGGTCCATAGTCTCCTGCTGCCAGAGAGACGTAGATCTGAGTGTCGTCTGCATAATTGTGGTACGACACGTTATTGCTGCTTATTAACTGGCCTAATGGCAGCATGTAGAGATTGAACAACAGGGGGCCCAGGATTGACCCCTGAGGCACCCCACAGGTCAGGGCCATGTCATCTGAGACACAGTTTCCAATTTCAACAAAATACTTCCTGTCTTCTAGATAGGACTTGAACCAGTTTAGTACAGTACCAGAGATGCCCACCCAGTCCTCTAGTCTCTGTAAGAGGATCCCATGATCGACAGTGTCAAAAGCAGCACTCAGATCTAACAGGATCAAGACTGAGACTTTGCCTGCATCAGTGTTCAGGCGGATGTCATTTGTCACCTTGATAAGAGCAGTCTCAGTGCTGTGGTGGATCTAAAACCTGACTGGAAAACATCAAAGGAGTTGTTCATTTGGAGAAAGTTCGTAAGCTGTTGGTAAACAGCTTTTTCAAGGACTTTGCCAAAAAACGGCAGATTTGAGATGGGTCGGAAATTGTTCAGTACTGTGGCATCAAGACTGCTCTTCTTTAGGAGAGGCTTAATGACCGCAGTTTTCAACGCGTTTGGGAATGTTCCAGATTGAAGTGACATGTTCACTATGTGAGTGAGTGGTGAAAGTAAACTGTTGAGGACGGACTTTAGAAATCTAGTGGGTAACATGTCCAGGCAGCAAGTAGATGAACTCAGACTGGTAACGATCTCTAAAACAGTTTTGTCAGTTACAGGTGCAAAGTGATTCAGCTCTAAGTGTCTCTGTGGTTTCATGCTTGTTATTTGTGTTGTGGAATTGATGGCATTTTTGATGCCCTGAACTTTGTCATTAAAGAAAACTGCAAACTCATTACATTTAGATGTGGAAATTAGTTCTAGTGGCAGTGGAGCTGGAGGGTTTGTTAATCTGTTCACTGTTGCAAACAGGACACGAGAGTTGTTACTGCAATTACCAATAATGTCCGAAAAATACTTCTCTCTTGTTTTACTCAAAGTGTAGTTGTACATATGCATTGTTCCTCTGTAAATCTCATAATGAACCTGGAGGTTTGACTTGCGCCATTTCCGCTCAGCCTTCCGGCACTGCCTTTTCTGTGCTCTGACTGAGTCATCATTCATTCCTCCACGGAGCTTTTTGCCTCTTTAACCATTTTAACCTTTATCGGGGCGATGGCATCCAGAACATTCAAAACACTCAAAGTCACAGAGTTCAACACATCATCAACATTAGAACATGAGGCAATTTCAAAAATGTATCATTTCCATGAACAGTGCACCTGTGTTATCATTTATGTGTCTCCTTCGAACAACTGTAGGAGCAGCCGGTGGTTTGGGAATAACAGACAGGTCAAAGAAGACACAGAAATGATCAGACAGAGCAACATCAACCACATTGACATTTGAAATATTTACACCCTTTGTAATGAGCAGGTCCAGAGTGTGCCCTCTGTTGTGAGTGGGCTCACTGACATGCTGAGTCAGACCAAAAGTTTCAAGGACAACACTAAGCTCTTTGGCATTTTTGTCACACACATTATCCACATGTACATTAAAATCACCTGTAATGACTAAACCATCAAAGTCTGTGCAAACAACTGAAAGCATCTCAGTAAAATCATCAATAAAACTTTGACAGTGCTGAGGAGGTTTGTATATGACTATGTAGAGTCTGGACGGTGATTGTTTTAGCTCCATTTTGAAGGAAACATACTCAAACGATGAAAACACCCCAAATGACAACCTGTGTGTAACCAAATGATCTCTAAAAAAATGCACACACTCCTCCACCTTTTTTATTTGCTCGTGTTTCAGATTCAAATTTGAAGTTGGGAGGGGTTGATTCCACTAGCACTGCATGACCTGTGTTTTTGTCAAGCCATGTTTCAGTTAAAAACATAAAGTCAAGATTAAAAGAAGAAATAAAATCATGAATTAGAAATGATTTGTTACATAAAGATCTGACATTGAGCACAGCAAGTTTCTGATTAGTTTCAGTAGGACTGGATGTTATCTTCTTACAGGGAACGTGAACTAAATTTCTCTGATTAGACAGTCTAACTGTCCTTCTTTTAATCCGTCTACGTGTTGTAACTGGAGATATAGCTCCATCGCAGGGCCCCAGCCTGATATTACCTTTATCATGACTGTATGTCCTGGGACAGCAGAGGCCCTGTGCGTCCAGCTCTTGGTGATAACAGCTCTGGGGAAAGGCGGGGGAGGGCGAGCAGGGGAGAGTTTGGGTGAGTGACCAGGTGAGGGACCAGGTGAGGGCCGAGGAGGTGGAATACGGGGAGGTTTGGGTGAGGGGCCTGGTAAGGACCGAGGAGGTGGAGTAGGGGGAGGTTTGGGTGAAAAATTAGAGGGGAGAGCTGAGAGAGTCTCTGGTGGTGAAACAGGCACAGTTTTGTATGGGGGAGAGTTCAACATAACCCTTGACCGTGTGCTATATTAGGTGTGAGAGGAACCATCTTGATTCCCGATCTGATGAGGCTTTCTAGATGGTTGGGCAGTGCCATGGGTGAAGGTGGGGAGGAGAAGGAGAGTGAAGAGTCCGTTGATGGAGTAGATGTAGCAATGGGGACTCCAGGCTGGTCTGTGGGCAGCGGAGGTGATGGGTGTGCTGGTGGCGCTGGGGGAGGTGGTGGTGGTGTTGCTGACTCATTCTCTGGGGGAGGTGGTGCTGCTGACTTGTTCTCTGGGGGAGGGGAAGGTGGTGATGCTGACTTGTTCTCTGGGGGAGGGGGAGGTGGTTCTGCTGACTTGTTCTCTGGGGGAGGGGGAGGTGGTTCTGCTGACTTGTTCTCTGGGGGAGGGGGAGGTGATGATGCTGCTGAGTTGTTGTCTGGGGGAGGGGGAAGTGGTTGTGGCAGTGGTGGTGCTGTCAATGGTGCTGACTCGTTGGCTGGTTCTCTGTTAGGTGCAGCAGGGATGCTTCTCCCATTTCTCTTTTCTCTCACTGGATGCACAGGACCCTGTCCAGGCCGGTGCCTCAGAGCGTGGAGGAGGTTTTCCGTCAACACTCTCACTCCACCTCTGCTTAGGTGTGGGCCATTTACCTCAAACAGGTCCTTCCGTTTCCAAAAAAGATCAAAGTTCTCAATGTAGTGCAATCCTCTGGCCGCACACACGTTCAGCAGCCACGTGTTCAGCTGAAACAGTCGGGTAAATTTGTTCCTGTTCCTTAGGTCTATGTTGGGAAGAGGTCCACTGATAAATGTCTTAACCTCCACTTTATTAAGCTCCTCGAATAATTTTGTGAAATCCCTTTTCAAGATTTCACTCTGTTCCATTCTGATGTCCACTGCACCCACATGCACAATCAGCTGTTTAACCCCTTGGTGTGTTGACAAAACTTTTGGCAGGAGTTTTGTTATCTCAGAAACAGTGTAGGTCGGGTAGCAGCATGTTAGGATTCTTCTGTGACTCACACCACTGATGCCCCGTCTCCTAGCAGCAACGTATCTCTGACCTTGACGTTTGGCACAGATTCCCGGTATGCCTGCACTCTTTTGCCAACTTTATTGTTCTTGTTTTGTGATGACAGTACATTATCCGTTTGTACATTAACATCAGTCTGTGACAGTGGTGAAAATCTGTTTGTTGGCTTTATTGTGGGTGATATAATGATATTAGCATTGTCTTTTATCACTCGCTGCGCTGGCTTAGCATTTTGGTCTGTACCAAGTTTTGGAAAAGACACAGTATCACTCAGGTTTAACTTGAAAGAATTTTCACCCTCTTCTCTGGAAGTAACTGTAGGTTGCTCACCACTGGACGTCACTGGTAGCGTCTGATGAAGTCCTTTTTCAGTTTCTAAAGCAAATATCCGTGCTTGTAGCTCATAAA